TCATAGAGTTAGCCACAATCTGCAATTCTAGCCTCCTCAAACTGGGCCAGGCTAGCCTTGTCATCTTTTGCCTGGTTTTCTGCAAAAACTGGGCGTTTTTGACAATTCATTGTCATTGCGGAGTACATTTAAAAACGTTGTCTTTGGCTATAGAGTTGTCCCTTTGGTGTACTTAAAACCTTGCTTACAGCTATAGAGTTAGCCTTCATGTAGTTCCAAATCATCGGGGGATGCCTACGATGATTGATCTATGTATAGTATGTTCAGACGTATATACGTATATTTGGAACACTGCAGGTGGTGCAGGAGTTTTCCATCAGTAGGTCTTGGCAGACTTCTTATCAAAGCCTTCAAATAGGTGAACATCTGACATCTGTGAATCCCTAAGACCACAGCAGAGTTCCCATCACACCTCTTTCGCCATTCCAAACGACTATGTCTTTGTTGGAGTGCTCCGCCATCAATCCGTACATGTGCACCTGACTCTGTGCCCACCGGGCAGGTTGCACTTGTTATTGCTAGACATTGCTATACGCGGCACAAGCTTGAAAAAAGCACCGCCTAAGATTCACATTCCGGAATCAAGTGATCAAAACAGTTTCTGGTTCTATACGATTCTAGTTTGATCTGCTGCAATATCAAACAAACCCACACGCTCACAAACACACATAGAGTCTCTTCTCATTGGGTACGTGAAGTCAAACACATTCCAACATACTATTATACCCATGTGGAACGACACAAGATACGGAGTTAAAAGAGCAAGGCAAATTGTGCTCATGGCAGCTGGCACTTTAACGAGTACCCAAGGACCCATAAATATCGAGAGGCTCAACATGTCAAAATTCATCGATGGACATTCTCTCAGTGTCTCAGTGGCATTCCCAATCGACCCAGCCAGTGATGGTACGACTCGTCATCAGCGAACAGTGGAAGATTGATGAAGATCGTGATGCTTCCAGGGTGCTGATCCCTTCCATCAGGCTGCATTCTTTCTCATCCAGCTCAATATGTAATGTTTTAACAAGCTGATCCATTTTTTGCGCTCTTTAAACTGGATGTCAGCTCTGCAGATCGCAAGCGGAAATTACATGTACGTATCTGCAGAGAGCAGCCTGAACCAAGAGGGATTAAACTTCCCAAACAGCCCCCGCATCTGTCGCGGAAGATGTTCAAGGCGCATCGTCGCCGTTGACCACCAAGCAGTGGTTTGAATAGCGCTGTGGTATACAAAGAGCGCCTGGCGATTTGATTGATGGAAAGGAATCAAAAGAACCATTGGGAATCCAGCAAAGCAGCATGTCTCCATGGTTTTGCCCCACCTTCCGGGCAGTACGGATGAACCCGATCGGAGATTACAAAGAATTTGCCAGTCATGTCCATCGCAATATCCTCATTCAAGCTATCAACCTATCAAACTCCTTGAGGGCAGCAAATGCATGCAAATGCTGCTTGAATCTTCTCTACAACTAGGCCCATGAAACTCCCTGAACTCTGCGATTGCTCCGCTGCTATGGGCTGCCTGAGTTCTGCTTGCAATGATCGGCTTGCCACAGCCAGGTGTTGTCGGTGATCACCCAACCATTGTTTACTTCCAACATGGTGCCGACACCTGAGACGCTTCAACTCACAGGCAAAACGCTCGCGGTACGATTTGAGTATTGCCGGGGTCTACCGCCCGGCCTTAGCCCCATCTCAAGTGGTCTATCTCGGGATGTTCTACTATGCAGGAACAGCAATGTACGTATTACAATGTATTGCAATAGAAAACATATGTTGTGTATATATATATATGTTCGTATGTATAGCATATTGACATTATATATATATATAATACACTATAATACATACACATCATGCACTCCTTTCTACTACTGGGTGTACACAAGAGAGGCATGTCAAGCGAAGCCGACGCGCAGCATGAATCGTCCCTCCCAACCTGCCGGGACATCATCAGGACCTCCGACCCTGGCCACGAAGTCATACATGAAGCCTGCAGCTGCAGCGGCCGTGGGTGCTTCCAGCGGTCATATTCAGCTGAGATTTGGACGAAAAGGTGTTGATTGAATGCACCAATTTGTGAATCACGCAGAATCCACCATCGGACAGCAACTCATTGGAACAACATGTGTGGAGACTTGGAGCAAAGGGGTGGCTCTTGGAGCCTAAGTGAGTGGCACATCCTCCATTAACGAAGCACCAACTGCTGGTCTGACCAGTCTTCCTTGTTGCTGGCCATTTTTGGATCTTCTTTTCAGCACAAAAATCCGTGTCCAAACTCATTCCCAGCGTCCTGGATTCTCCTTCTTTCCCGCGTAAGGCGCATCGGGAGTGCCCCACCTATGGCAACGCGGATGGCAAGACACTTGTAGGAAGCGACGGGACCCGACGGTGAAGACAGGTTGATCAATAGAACCCCCAGTATGGAGATGTAGAAGCATCATGGTAGAGTCTGGTAGAGTCTTTTCTTGATGTTTTATGAACCAATGTCTGTAGATGTCTTTGTTTTGTTTCGGGCGTTCCAAACCGCGAAAAACGGTACGACGACAAGGACGCACCTCACGAGAGCCTTCACAGCTTTGGTGTAGTTGGACGAATTTTGAGGTCCAGCCTGCCTGAGCACCCCCAGCGCTGGTCAAGGTCTGCCTGCTCCTGCTCCCCAGACTTACTTGTGACCTTGTGATCCTTCTATGTTAAAAATTATGTTTTGCGACTTCCAGGACCCAGCACAGGCCCACGCATGCAGGAGACACTTTTGAAACACATGTGTTGATATCATTTGGGATTGTCCTGTCTTTCGGTTCCCTTGGATGGAGATGCCGAAAAGGTGAACTGGGGAAAAGGCACCGCCCTGAAGCCATCTTGCTGTGCCAACCTGCAAGGATGAATCGTAAGAAAGGTGTCTATAACCACTCCCAAAGTTTTCTATCTTCAATCCACATTTTTGCCCAAGGAATTTAAAGGAACAGGATGCGATATTCAATATGGTATTCAATGCGATTTCTCTCAAATTGCTCTATCGATAGGTTTCTTTCGTTTTCTGTAAACCCTGTAGAATGTCGTCAAAAGGGCCATGAGGGCAAGGGTATCGAACATCGTACAGTTTTCCCTTAAATCACTGTTCACATTCAGGGGGTGACGTTGTATATTGCGCTTTCTAGTAGTGGGGTGAGGGTGGGCTTGGGGTGTACGAAATGATAGGGTGCAGGGTCCCAGGGTTGATAGGGGCCTGGCCTGGATCACCGACAAAAAATCAGGGTACAACATGCATTGCAAAATGGGAGCACCTGAGTATGTACGCGCATAAGGTTCAATTACAAACTGAGGTGGCCAACGACTAAGAACCATTGTTTCACCACTCTTCCGCGGCTCTAATCAGAGTTTTTCGGATTCAGTATTTCCATGTATTCCCATGAATTTCATTTACTTCATTGTATCGAAATCAACTACATGTCAGCTTGCTTTCATGCTCTGCTGAGGAACGCAAACACAAGGGAGACTAACCTTGCGATCAGAAAGAACTAAGCAACGCAGCAATCTTGTTGACAAAGTGGCGCAAGTTGGGGGGTGGTTTTTGTAGAAAGCCTGTCTACAAAAGGGGGGTGGCCAAACAAACCGGTTTTGCTGTTATGTTGTACGCAGATTTGCCGCTTCTACTAGTGGCTCCTTCCGTCACAGCATTTCGGTGGGTTTTGCTCGCGGTGGCCTGTCACCCTTGCAACCAAAGAATTATTGTATTTTGCTTAAAGGTGTTGTGAATTTGGTTGCAAGTGGTTTCAGCCAGAGGAATCCATCGCTGATCTTGTTCAGTCTGCACGAGCTTTGATGATTCAGACTAATGAGGGGGTCTATCGGTTTTTTCTGCAGAACACTCTGAGGTCCGCGCAGGAACTCAGAGGTAAAACAAACATGCAAGTCGCGAGTGCAAGGATCATGGAGAGGGGACACAGGGCACTCACGAATGTTTTCAGAATCTAATCCGATGGAGTTCCTATAAGTATCAGCATAGAGCTTCAAACTGGCATTAACAAGAGAAGCCAAGCACGAACACGAGAAGAAGGGTTGAAAGAACCACACAAATCACTGAGTCTACCCAAATTGAAGTAGGGCAAGGTGTTAGCATTCCTTAAAGAATTAAGCATGGACCGTGATTCCCTTTAAGACTGTCAATCGAAGCGGGAGCTGAATTGGCAGGGGCGCTGGCAGGCGCACTTGTGTAAATTCTATTGACCTGCTATTCTGGGAGGTCAGCGGCGGCGGCAGTGGTGGTGGTGGTGGTGGTGGAGGCGATGATTGTTGTTGTTATTGTTGTTGTTGCTGTTGCTGTGGTTGTTGTTTTTCGTGGTATGCTTTCTGGTTGTTGTGAAAGGGACACAAAAAAGGACATGCAGGCCAGTTGGGCGGCATAACTCACACCAGCTACCCCTCACGAGCCATCTTAAAGGAGTGGGTACTCGCCAGGCATGTTACAAAAAAGAGGTAACATTTAAACCTCATGTTTTGCAAAACGTCGAAAAACGCAACACGGTGTTTTTTCGAGGCTTTTGAGCGTGCCACTGTGCCACTTTGCGCACGATCTGAAAACACTGGTATTTGCCAGGTTTTCTGCCCCTCCGTTTTCGCCCTTGCGCACCTGAAATCCTTCTCCCCAGTCGCAGGAAGGGATTACCCGCGGAAAGCTTGGGGGCCTAGCCTCCAACACACTGCCTAGGTCCCAGTCCCGAAGTCTCGATGTGGACTGCTGGAGGTCCGATCGTGATGCCAGTGAATGTATACACAGAGTCACAGAGTTGCAAATTCATGACCCGCTTTGTATGAATTATAAAGAATGGGGTGCCTTTACTTCTCTCACCAAGGTACAGTGGTAAGTCACCAAAGTGTATCAACCACTGAAATGTGTTTCACACTGAGAAAAAGGCATAGAAACGCCCCTTCCTGCCCTCTCTTCGTCCAGGGTGCACAAAGACACTGGCCAAACGCACTCCGTCCACTGCGCCCACCTCATCAGTAAGAGATCGCATTGGTGGGATAGCTTCTGGCCCGAATCCTTGCGGTATTCGTCTGAGAATCTTATCAGCCGAACGGACGCACCAGTTCTTGGTTCACGTCAATAGCCAGTGTGGTTCAACAGTTGCTTGAGATTGTCGCATGACAAGTGGAAGGAACATGCGAAGGCTTCGATCAAGAATTGCTTATCTCAACATGGGATACCCCGCAAGACAGCCGATGTCTTGGGACGTCTCTACCACATCCAGGGCATCACGTGAGAGTAATTTTCGGCATCCACTGATTGGCTTCCAGCCTCAATCACTGCTTTGCCTTCGAAAATGTCCAGTTTCTTGGGCACCAGCGTCGCAAAGCCTTGCCCCGCTGTGGTGCACAAGCCGATTTGCCGCCAAAAACCGCAGCGGTGTGGAAGAAAGGAGAGAGATGAGAAGGTCTTCTTAAGTTCAAAATTACTGCAAGTAGGATGCTATCAGGAGCAAAGGGCATCGCCACTAGCAGCAAGAATGCTACTAGGGGCTCCTGGCCTTACTGCTAGGAGCAAGGACGCTACTAGGAACAAAGGTGCATCGCTACTTGTGCTTCGCCCAGCGGCCCAAACCCAGGACCACAATGTTTGAACGGTTGATGACCTGCAGCGGGACCGACACCCCGCGCATGGCATGCATCTCGCGCCACGCCCACTCGAACGCCTACCACCCCAGCAAAAAGTTCCGTCTATCGCACACTGGTGCGATGCGGCATGCTGGGTATCCGTTAGACTATCTTGAATAAGTATGATGTTCAAATCTGCCGCAATTCTTCTTCCAGAAAACAGTCGAAATCGCTGCAAATCAGGGAACACATTTACTCACCCAGTGCTCAGTGCTCCGCTTCAAGGTATGAATATCTGTGCTTCCCTTGCTATGCCCCAGGCAATTGGCTCCTCCAATTCATAGACGCCCGGAGTAATGACAACATGATGACCTCCAAAGCACTGCGATGCAAAATGACACTCTCACAGCTATGCTTCACTATAGACACACATACCAGCTTAAATACTACAGTGCTGGAAGGTCCAAGGTCTGCCTTTGAATTCATCTTTTAGCACGCCCAAAAAGGTGAGTGGAGCATGGTTTCTCCTTTAACAAGTTTATTGTCTGGAGACGCGCTTTTGAGCCACGTCCATCTCTGTTGTCGTCCTCTGCCTCTCTCCCTCTCTCCCTCTCTGGTTGCTGTATGCCTTTTGTGTTGATTGCGTGGTTGATATCGCTGGCTGTGGTATTCGCATTGGTGACAAACACCTTGTCGAACCCCACCGTACTCCCAGTCCTCAGCATAAAACTCAGTCAACTCCACCAAACGTGCTCCTGCTTGAAAAGGCTTCTGGAAATCGTTAGGCTTGCTGGCGACTTCTCTGCAAAACTGAACGCCGCTATGAACGCCAAGTCTCTGCCAATCTGGCCCTGCATGGTCAGTTAAGACCTTGTGGTGAAGGCATGAAAGAAGGAATGCTTGACACCCAGGTGGATCAGTCGTTGAACCATGAGTGTGATGATCTACATGTTTCATTACGTCTTCATTATGTTTCACTATGTTTAGGGTGTCATTGTGTCACAAGGCTCAGAATGAAAACCTGATCAAACCCGGTGGATCTGTCGTCTTGACCAGTTTGGACAAACACAAAGACAAGGTCTTCTTGCCCATGCACCGTGTGCATACGAACCCAAGCTCAGAAGAAACACAGCATCTTCCAACACAATGAATATTTCCGGTGGGTTGAACGAACTCAGGAACAACAGAATCAGTGGGATCAATCATCCCAACTAAAGGTTTGGGAGTTTGGGAACATCAAAATACTTGTATCTGAAACCACCGCCCATGTATTGGGCCATGGGTCTGTTTGGGAAAACTCCTCTGTGGATTGGACTAGCTTGAACACCTTCTGCACATGCAGAACACCCTGTGCCAGACTTTATAGATCTGCTTGGATTTGATTTAGGAACCGGGAAACTATAAACAACCCCTAGAAGGATATTCACCCATTGGGAAAACAATTCCCTAAGCAAAACCAGGTCTGTCACCACTGGACCACCCTGCCTCTGGAATGCGAAGCTTGTACTCATCCTGGGCAACCAGCTCCATGGGAGAAGAAGGGAAGAACCATGAATGAACACTCTTGGGATTTCCTTGGCGATTCTTTTGCAATACAGACCTATCACCCACATTATGATGGTCTTCCAGCACAGTACAACACGAAAGGTCAACTTTTAGGCTCGCACCTCTTCAATCATGATGAACGGCTTTTCAGCGAACACCGATGGTGCTTCCGTGTACCTCAGAGCTTTCACGCAGCAATCAGAAAGGGTTTCATGAATTTGATGACCCGCTAAAGGCAGATCTCTGGCACTGGCACATTGAGATACAACAGGATGTTTGCGACGTGTCCTACTTGAACATGCTAGTTACAATCATTTTACATATATATATATACTATAGTATACATATAATACAATATAACACATACATACAACTATACATACATACAACTATACATACATTACATTACATTACATCACATCACATTCAGTACATTACATCACATTACATTCATACATAATACACATGTATACAGTATATAATATAACATAATGTGTTCCTCCAGACTTCTTTTGTTGAAGAGTTGTTGAAGGCTCGTTCTCCATCAGGGTAGGATTCTGCTTCCATTCTGCAGCATCCGTCTGTGTGCATGGCTCCGCACCTTCCTGCAATTTGCCAACTGCGCTTCGGTCGAAGTTTCAGCATGGGTTCCCCAGTTACGCTGTGGATCAAAATGGGGAGACCTCGGTTGTTGAGTCAACACGAACAGCATGGACATTCCCACAGAGGTCAACCAACCAGCGCTTTGGACGGTTTTGGAGACCCAGGTTTTGACCCGTCGTCCCAAGTGGGACTGCGGGTTTTTCTTTCCCTGAATGGTGTTTTCCCTTCCCGGGAGGTGTTGGCTTCCCGCTCGGGTGTTTTTCCTTCCCTGGGAATTGTTTGTTCCCCTGGTGTTTTTCGTTCCCGTACGCCACAGTGTTTTTCGTGCCCGGCTGGTGTTTTTCAGGCCCTGAATGGTGTTTTGTGGGGCCGCTGGTGTTTATTGTTCCCTGAAAGGTGTGTATTGTTCCCAGCGTTCCGGGTTTGTATGAAGAAGTGAAAGGGTGTTTATTGTTCCCTAGAAAGTGTGTATTGTTTCCAAAGTCTAGCTTGCGGCCGGCTATCGCAAAAAGAACAGAAATAGGAAATAAAAGGAAAGGAAAGGGCACAAGGAGAAGAAAAGGTCTAAACTTCGCTCGTTTGATCTATTCTGTCTGAACTATGCAGAGCTCAGAGGTAAAAACGTTACATTTAGACCTTTTAAGCTTTCAATTTTTTGTTTACATGGTCTAAAAAGTGGATGTGGCAAGGTCTTCACATTTGACACCTTTAGTGTGTGACGTTTCGTAGCACAGATATGAGACACAGGCGGGAAGACATTACACCGCTACATTTGAGATTTTGTTGTACAACAAGCCGTCTTTTGTATACATGGGTGACATGCGCTCACAATGCAACAGTCGAAGTTGTTTATACATTTCGGGAAGGAGCAACATCATTTCAGGAAGGGGAAACCCCCGGGAAGGGGAAACACCATTCAGGGAAGGAAAAACACTCCGGGAAGAAAAAACACCCATATGGGAAGGAACAACACCATTTCAGCAAGGGGAAACCCCCCGGCAAGGGGAAACACCATTCAGGGAAGGAAAAACACCCTACCCGTCCAAGTGCCACACCTCGCAGGCTGCCATGGCGACACACCTCTTCTTTTTCGGGCGTTTTGGAGTGTCGCCATGCTTAGCCGCCATGCTTGAAAGTCCTTACACCCAAGTTTCTCCATCTCCATCTCCATCTGACACGATCCCCATCTCATCCCTGATCCCGCCATGTGACGTGGCTCCAGAGTGCCCGGTCTGCCATGGCTTGTGCTCCCCCTCCCCCACGTTGTAACCTCCAGCGGAGTCCCGGAAAGTCCGCGGTCCAGTCGCATGCAATCGGCTCGTCCAAAAGAGATCCAAATCGGAAAATCCATCTTTCTTTTTCTCCCCCCACTATGTTCTTCTTCTTTAATTTGTAAACATTTGGACCAGTTCCAATGTGGAAGTGATCCAAAACAGTGGAACCCGTTCTTTTAACACAACGCTCGCTCTAGGCTTGACTCTCTTGGCCAAAAGAGTGCAGCCTATGATTTGCCGTTCTCTTATCAAAGAACCAGGAAACACGTGAATGTCCATCTCTGCCAAGCAACTCGGTGGGAAAGGACTGCCTGAAGGCGAGACACAGCCGACTGCAGCATAGCTGCCAAGACCTAGCGATCATGGCGGGTGCTGTGAATGCCGGATTTGCAGCACAAAACAGCCAAACCCTTCCATCACCCTCAAAACACATCAAACTTGTCTTCCCAACTACAACAAAGGAACTGCTGTCATCCAAAAAACTGACATGAACCAACTGTGCCCTCTTCCGCCCCTATTTTGGGCCTGCTGGATGGTCATAGGGCTGCATCTTCGTGCCCCGGGTGTACCACTGCTGCTGCGTACCGGTGAGGATCGCGCCCCAGATCTCTGAGTTGGCCAAACAGCCTCCGGAGGTATAGTCAGTGCCTTGAGGCATTGCGCAAAACCGGCCGTCTGTTTTGCAGCATCTCGCACATACTTCAGGTGTATGGATCAGCTGATCAGCATGATCGGAGCGGCTGCGCACGATCACCACCCAATTTTGTTGGAAGAACTCTCAGCCTCCGACCACCACCACTCAGTGCAAGATTGCCTTGAACTCTCACCTGAGCCATCGTTGCCATGAACTTTACAAGAATCAAGGAGTCATGATCAAGCAGCATCTTTATGGGTGTGTCTGAAATATTAATGTCATGTTATTGAACTCCGACAAGAACATATGCTTCCAAAGACGCCTCAGAAAAGGGGATTGCCTACCACTTGGTAAAAAGACTGGCTCCGCACCCTACAAACGAACCGTCTTACACTTGTCTTCGCGAACAAACACTATCAACTCGAATCACGTCCCGCAACCAAACATTTTTTTCAGAACAACCAGTCCCAGAACGGGTAAGTTTAAGGGAAAACGAGAAACCATGGTTTTCACCCCAAAACGATGGGTTTCCTGTAGATTTTCCCTGAGGCCAATTCTGAGAACTTAGCCTCTTAGTGGCCACTGGCCAGTCACGCGAGTCGTGGTCTGCTACCCTGGAGCCGCGCCTTCCGCAGTGGTGCCGCCTGCGAAACGAAGAAATCCAAGTTTTGTGGGATGTCCACGTTCTCGATGCTACGCCAAAAGGTGTTCCTGAAGCAAGGCATCTGGCGGGACAGTATACATAATAATTAAGTCATATGAGACAAACTTTTTGGATAAGCAGGGGTGTCTCTCCCAAAGTATGAACATCGCCTAAAGATCACATGTCATAGAAGAATGGTCACAAAGGGCACTCAAGGCACACTCAGACTCATAGTTCAAATGCATACGCGTTAAGTTCATGGCCACATTACCGCTTTACGGTACTGCATTAGACGACGGCCCTGTGCACAACGGAATGGTGAAAAGGTCAGCTGAACAGTATTGTTTAAATTCACTCAAGATCAGCAGGTACGTCGATCTGGCGTCCCAAATCGATTTCACAGATGCGACACTGGCGTCTTTGTTGGTGCCAGTCCAGTGTACATCTCTGGCACCCCTTGCTGTGTTGAAGTCCGTGAACAACAGCCGGTGAAAGCTTTTGGAAACAGAGGTGGGCACACACAGTCGATAAATTGCGTACTGAAATGAGCAGGTAGAATGAAAGCCTCCAAAGCCCAAAGCCAACGAACTCGCAAGTCGAAAAGCGAAAGGCTGCGACAGGTTGACGACGTTCGCTCGCAACTGCGGAGTGCATTAGCTCTTTACTGAAAAGTGGGGTCACAGTTTGAGCAACAGTTCAAAAGGAGCAGGTATGTCTGGAAAGCGTCCTTTCCAGATATCAGCCACAATTGCAACCCTCTTCGTTGGACAATCAACTGCAATGTGGGATTCCCCCCCTGCGATAAAGAGTCTTTGAGGTTGGGTAGCTCAACCGTCGGAAAGTGACTCTCGAAGTTCACGATCACAAATGAAAACCGCTCTCAAAAGCAGCCGCGGACTTTTCGCGGACTCGTGGCCATCAGGCTTCAAGGTGCGCATGCCCTTCCAGCTGTCGGGAGGAAAAACGGGTGGTTCGAGCAACAAAGCGGCAAAGCTTCGGCTTCGTCCACGAACCTCAGTGAACCTGTGCAGCAGCAAAAACATGTGATGGCATCACATTCACACCGGTCAAAGGTGGTGTGTCAAGTGGTTGCTGCTGCTTCGGCCTCCTGCTCTTCGTAAAGGTCTTGGCCAAGGTCGTGGGCGCATACCCTGCAAGGCACGAGGGTGTGCGTCACATTCGCTGTGCGCTGGCTCGCACATTGCTGACTTGCATGCCAGCTACTTCCATAGTTGGTGTGGAAGATGTTGGCATTTATGGCAAATCTCAGGCGGTTGCGGGCTCTGACTCGGACTTCTTCTTTGTACCGAGTCCTCATGGTCTCTGCTTGCAGCTCGTAGTTCTCCCGTTGTCGACGGAAGTCCTTTTGGAAGCAGGTTTGTTGGTCTTGTAGTCGTTGTTCAGCCTGCTGGAGCTGTGCTTGTAGGTGAGTGTTCTGTGCCTCGAGTTGTTTTATCTGTCTCCTGAGGGAGATGAGTGTCTCTGGCTCGACATGTGTTGTCTCGTAGGTGCTGAGGGTCAGTGCCATATCTGGATCCGGCGGTGCCGGTTTGGCATATGGTGTAGGACCTCGTGCAGTGCTGTGAGCTCTTGCTTGTGGTCCATATCGGTCGTGTCCAGGTGCGGGTGGCTGGAGAGAGAGTCTCTTGTCGATCAAATCGTGTTCTCTGGTCGCGGAAGCTCTCTGTTGGTGCTGGTGGTGCAAAAAGATGCTGCTGATGTTCTGGAATTTGTCCACCATCATAGTGTACACTTGCCGTGGTGGTATGTGGTGTTGGTGCACCACGTGTGCTCGGTGGTGGTTCTGGTTCACCAGTGCTGTCCTGTTCTGTGATCTCTGTAATGTTCAGATCAACTGTTGGTGCTCCTGGTGGTGCCCCTTGGCGTGACTGTTCATGAGCTGTTGTTGTGTCGGTCTGTGGTTCATCTCCAGGTGCATGTCCATCTCCATCCTCATCCATCGGTGTTGGAGTGGTAGTGGGAACATTCGGTGGACTGCTGTTGGAACCGCTATGTCGGTCTGTTCTCAGGACAAAGGTGGTGCTTCCTGTCCATCGGAATGGCATGGATCTGGTGGCATTTGGCAATGTCCAGTCATCTTGGAAGACTGTTCTGTTTCGGGCCGGTTGGTGTGGCCTCATGATGACGGTTCTCCGGATGTCCTGGAAGTTCTGCCACGGTGCTGTGTCGTCATTGTTTGGCGTGTAAAGTGCCTGTCTTGGACTCACATGGATGCGGTGCCATGTGATACCATCTTCTTGGATGTCCCAGTAGTCCTGCTCGGTTGGTTGTGGATCTGGTGCCATTGCTTCGGTGTCTGGTGCTTCTGGCATTTCTTCCTCATCGTCAGTGACAATCTCTGTTCGTTTCCTCTTGTTGGACTTGATGAGGTCAGTGTACAGTGTGGTGCTTCTGCCTCGGATGTTGTCCAGTGCTTGTCGTGCTCTCTGTAGTGGATCTGTGTCGCTCTGGTGGTTGAGGTCTGGTCGGAGATGTTCTCCGGAAACTCGTAGGAGTGTTGAACCGTGTGTGATCCAATACGTGTTTGTTGCTGGGCCAGTTCGGCCTGGTTCTGTCATCACGACAGTTGCTGGACCCTTCCATCGGATCTTTGGACCTGCTCCTCCAGGGGCATCTCTCCAGTAGTAGACCAGTTGTCCAGTGGAGTAGGTGTACTGTACTGCTTGATGCTGTCTGAGGAGTGCTCGGCGTAGTCGTGCATCGTTGTCTGCTTCGATCACTGAGATCGCTGCCTGTTTTTGCAGGTGTAGCTTTTGCTCCATGGCTTCTGAAGGCGTCAGCTGTGCTGTAGTGAGGTCGTGATCCATCAGGACACCGGGTATGCGTGGTTGCATGCCCATAGCCCACTGTGTCGGACTGAAGCCTTGGACATTGGTGGTGTTGTTGATCTGGGGGATCACGTAGCATAGCGCCTGTGTGATCCGCTCACGGGTGCTCATGCGCTGATCGAAGTCTGGTCTCTCTTGTTGTGCTGCTGTGAAGAGTTCGATGCCTCGTCGTAGGACTTGATGTCTTCGCTCAAGCACGCTTAGTCGTGTGTGTGCTTGGCCTGGTGAGATCTCCAGTTGTATGCCGAGGTCGCTGGTCCATGTTCTTGTGGTGTCTGAGCTCCATCCTCTGTGGTCGTCGACTTGGAGGAGTGTTGGTGGACCAAAGTGTCTGATCCATCCTCGTTCAAGTCCTCGGATGAAGTCATCCGATTGTTCAGAGTCAATGACCCGAGCGGACATGAACTTAGTGGTGGCGTCGATCATGCTGAGGACTGGAACTGCTTGTGGCTTGTGGCCATTGTGTAGTCGCGGTAGGTGTATCCAGACTGTGTCTGCTTGTACTCTGCTGTTGAAACTGCCTCCTGTTCGGAGTGTGCTCTTGGCCACTTGTGGTGGTGGTCGGTGTGCATCACATAGTTGGCAGTGATGTTGTTGCGCAGCTGCCACAATCGAAGGACTGGCATTCTTGCTCTTGAGGAGCTTGGCCAGCTCGAGATTAGTGGGGTGTCCAAGGTTTCGGTGGATCCTCTGGACTGTTCTCTGAGCTGCTGACCATTGTGTCTCTTGTAGTCTGGTGAGTATGCCTCGGTTGTTGTCAAACTGTTCGTCGCTGTCATAGACTTGTGGCTGTTGTTCTGCCACTGCCTGTTGTGGCTGTAATGCTACTTGCTGTTCTGCCGGTTGTACTGCATCATGTTCTGCCGGATATGCTTCTTCGGTGGGTGGCCAGTACTCGGTGAGCATGAAGGTGTTCATGATCTGGGCCCACTCTCTGCACATGTCTGTGTTGTAGCTGCCAGCTGCTGCGGCTCTGTTGCCAATGTGTGGGGAGCTGCCCTCAATAGGGAGGTGGTAGTGATTGCTGTGGCAGACTCGTTCGAACATAGAAGCCAGGGTGCTGTCTGTGATGCGTAGGTTCGTTGGCTTCTTGATGTATTGTTCGTAGCCATTGGAGTCTGGTAAGGTTGCTCCGTATTGGCATTGGTCCACATGTGCATCATAGCCTTCTAGCTGTTGTAAAGTTGGTGTGTCCCAAGATGTTGCATACTTGGGGTGTTCAAAGATGGAAATTCGCTTTTGGTTGTGTTGCTTGTTGTGGATTGTCTTGCTGAATCGCAAGTGGGTTCCTTCCTCATGCTGCTGCTGTGCTTTCAGTCGTTGCTGGTCTGCCGGTGTCTTGGCGTTCAATCGCTGCAGTGGGGACCATTTGGTGCAAGGTGGTGCAACCCAAACAATCTCTGGGCTCTGGTGGTAGTACAAGTGGATGAACTGCCTCTGGTGGCTGGGTTTGGTGAAGTCCCATCCGCTGAGGATGTCGAAGGTGCGGACTTTGTATCCCAGTTCTTCCATGTGTGTTGCTAGCACTGCGTCACCAGCGTAGACTTCCCAGAATTGCATCTGGTGGCTGTCATGTGCTGTGAGTGTTGTCTCGAGGGTGTGCTTGTAGTGTCGTGCCAGCTGTTGTTGATGTAGTCGGAAGCTGCGGACCAGTTTGTCCGTCAAAGTTCTGCGATAGCCGGTGTCATCATCATCTTCTGGGTCTGTGGTGTCGTTTGTTTCTTCTTCGTTGAAGTTGTCATCATCGTTGACCTGCATGCCGTGTTCTCCCAAGTCGGGAGGTGCTAGGCCTGTGAGCTCAATGTAGTGCTGAAGCGTGTAGTGCTCTGCTTGTGCAGGGTCTTGTGTCAGCAGGTTGTAGGTCTCTCCCATGATGTAGTCAAACTCACAGCTGCTGTGGTCCGGTAGGTCGGTCAGACCTTGATCCAGCTGTAGGAGATGTTCTCCTCTGGAGCCAGTGATGATTGGTGACCACGGGCCTTCATCAACTCGCATGGTGTCTTCCATGAAGTTGAGCTGGAGTTTCATGGCCTTCAGAATTGGCCTGCCGATCAGGAGAGGAGTTGATCCAGGAACAACGAAGGCCTGCGTGCGGCCGAGGTGCCCTTGGATGCAGACTGGCATGTGTACTGTCCATTGTGCTTCAAGGCTATTGTCTCCGCCGAACTGCAGTGTTTTTTGTGCAGGACGGAAGTGGAAGCTGGAAACATCGAACCCTTGTTCGTGGTAGCTTTCGATGTAGTTCATGAGGATGTCATGGCCAAGGACCATGCAGCTTGCTCCACCATCCATGGTGCCGAAGAGTCCCTTTGGGATGCGCTGGTAGTCCTTCATTTCGAACTGGACCATCATGGCGTTTTCGGCTTTTGCCTTTTTGGCAGCATTGGTGGGGCTATTGGTGGTGCTTCTCTTTTGAGTGCACTGTGCTGCAAAGTGTCCAGGTTGACCACATCGTAGGCATGTCTTGGCTTGGTTCAAGGCTGTGCGGCCTCGACTCTTGGCATCACCTTTTTGTGGAGGTGACTTGGAGCCCTGCCCTTTCCCTTTTCCTTTTCCTCCCTTGGAGCGAGGAGGATATGGCCTTTGAGATGATGTTGGACTCGATGAAGTTGCGCCATCGGTCAATGCGACCACTGGATAGAAGCCTCTGTTGTTACGCAGCTCAGCAAAGCGGCGCCTAGCATCCAGGTAGGTGGCATAGGCTTCCTCGTACTCAGGGTCTTCTTGATCCGGGTAGTCCTCATCGTAGCCGGTGTAGTTGGCTGTTTCATCGCCAAACTCTTCATCATACTCTTCTTGGGTTTCCTCATAGTAAGCCTCGTCATACTCAGGCTCATAGGTCTCTTCCGGGTCGTCCATGTAGTCGTCCTCGTGCATGGTGTAGGCCTGAGCTGGTTTCTTCCATTTGTTGAAGCCTTTTCCTTTTCCCCCAACTGGACGCTGGGAGAGTCCAACCTTTCCCCTGTAGTCCTGGCCGTACAGGTAGTACATGGCTTCTTCAACTTTGCTTTCTTCGAGGCTGGAACCACATTGGCTTTGCACCAAGTGTTTCTGGTCTTGTGAGAGACCGCTTCTTCTCAGCATCAGCCAGCCTGTGATCTCGGTCGGCAATTTGATGCCGTGTTTTTCGACTTCTCGGAGCGCTTCTCGATGTTCAGCGCAATACGACATCAGTGTCTGGTCGTAGCGCCTGGTGAGGCTGTAGAAGAACTTCTCGAAGGATCTGGGCTGTTCGACCCGTGCATCGTAGCGGAAGGTCTTGTCGAGGATTTCGATCACCTTGGTGAATCCTCCTTCTTTGTCTTCGCTTGCCGATTCAGCTATCGGCTCGACTTGCTTCCAGGCTGTTCCTGACAGGGTTGTCAGGAGGTTGATGACTCCTTCTTGTGGCTTCTTTTGCAGAACCATCTTCTTCTGGTAGAGGTGAATCCGAGCCCTCCATTCCTTGTAATCTTGAGGCCTGTTGCTGAAGGTCGGCACCCAAGAATCTTTACTTGCATCCACACTCGAAGATGATGCAGCAGATGAACTTGCCATCGAGCTCGACCGGGAGGTAGTAGCTAGCAGCAAGCAAGCAGGAGCCCTGAGCCTTGCGGCTCCGCTACCAATTTGAGGTTGGGTAGCTCAACCGTCGGAAAGTGACTCTCGAAGTTCACGATCACAAATGAAAACCGCTCTCAAAAGCAGCCGCGGACTTTTCGTGGACTCGTGGCCATCAGGCTTCAAGGTGCGCATGCCCTCCCAGCTGTCGGGAGGAAAAACGGGTGGTTCGAGCAACAAAGCGGCAAAGCTTCGGCTTCGTCCACGAACCTCAGTGAACCTGTGCAGCAGCAAAAACATGTGATGGCATCACATTCACAGAGTCTATCAAAGTAGAGGTTGAGCCCAAAACACGGCAAAAAGTGAGAACAAAGTCAACGGAATCCCTGTGACTCCAAGGGTGTCACACACACACACACACCACCACGAAGTATACAGTCTCGAAATGCGGACATCTTATGCCCTTATAGCAAGTCGCTTTAAGATGCTTTAAGAAGTTATGTGTTATGCTTGAGCCCATTCTCCATCTTCAGGAATCTTCAGGCTTCCCCCTTTTCTTGACGCGACGGAGCGCGACTCTCTGCTTCGAGCCAAGGGTCGTGTTTGGTAGACCGCCTGAGCAATTTCTGACGGAAGCATCACTTTTCAAACCAAAAGCAAGGAGCAAACAAAGCAGACGTGTCAGAATTGTTTCAGCAACTATTTGCTGTATGTAGGCATGCTTTTGTCTCCTCTTTTGCTCGCCTGGCTGTTGCCCCACTTCCAAGCCGATGCCGTCAGGCCCAGGCTTTGCGATGGTATCCAAGGGTGAGGCCCCAAGGCCCAGGACTTGGAAATAGTAAGGCAGCAAAATATCCACCTGCGCCGCTGAACACACGCAGGGTGCTCACCACCCTTTATGGTGTCCGAGACCTGCCAGAATGCTCACCACCTGAAGCAGTAATGCCCTTTGTTCCTAGTAGCTTTGCCAGGAGCTACTAGTAGCGTCCTTGCTCCTAGTAGCGATGCCCTTTGAGGGGCCAAGGGGTTGGATTGGCAAGTCTTCGCCAAACGATGCTGCTTCGGATGACCAAAAGACGGAATGTGCGGTTGGTGCAATTCGCGCGCGTGGGGTTCGCCTGGTGCACGCCAGGCTTTAAGAACACAGCCGTTCGGTGATTGCCGAACTGGCCAGGCTCGTCCCAGCTAATCTCGGTGAGAAAGGTCGACTGAACTCTGGAAACAAAAGCAAATTTGTCTGGCTGCCCGTGGTATGGCTCTTCCGAGCATTGCAAATCAGAGACATTAAACACGTCGTGTTGGAAGGTCAATGAGTCAATGAAGCCGCGGCTCTGTACCTCACGTTGATATAAAGCCAGGAAACGTAAGCGTTATACAGCTCAAGCAATTTTGCCTAGGCAGTCGCACAGGCAGTCCAATGAGGTTCAAAGCACTGTGTTTGCCTTTGCACTATCAATGTCTTTTCCCCTCTGCCTCTTGCACTTGAATTTGGGTGTGGAGGTTTCGAGAGTGTGTTCTCCACCTTCTTCAATGTCTTATCCCTTGATAACTCTTGCTTTGCACAAAAAGAGATCACTCGTGTCACCAGAAAACATGGAACAATACAACAGTGTGGAGGCACTTTCATACATAGTATACGTATCTGTGTTGCATACATACAATATATTCATGTAGTTATATATATATATTTATTTATATTTAGATATAAACACAAACATAATATTGGTATTTATACAAGTCGCTTGCAATTCAACGGGCGTCTCTCCGGGCTCGATCACCTGGCAGTTGCAAACGACGGTCGAGTATCCCACAACATCCCACAACCAACCCAAATGAATGAATCATACATCATCGGTTTGGGCAGTACACAATCGATTCACAAGAACCATATGCATCCCATCCAAACACCTTAATTTATCATCCTTTTATCCAACAAAGTGTTGCACATGATCGATTCCCAAGCCAAACAAAACGGGGCCATGATGGGCCATGCGTAACACGGAAGCTTGCATTCTGGCACCAGTAAGAACATCGTGCAAGATAGGTCAAAGCCTAAAGTCAAACACGTCAAGACCCTCCTTGGCTCAACCTTGGCCACCGATCCTTTTTCGCTTGTTGCGTTTCACCAAACTGTCGATGCCCAAGGGCCATTGAGTTCCGTGTTCGCTTGCGTTCGGCACCAAGGCACAATCACATTGGGCCCAAAATTCGGACTTCTGTGAGACCTCGGGCCAAGAGGGGGTTTCCTACAAGTACTTGGGACTGAGACAACATCGTGCCCTTTTTGCACAGATCGATCTATTCTGGGGCCATGTTCATTCTGCCAATCGCATTTGGTCCCTTTTCTTTTGGATTTTTGTGAGGTTGAGGATGGTTGGTTGAGGACCGTTGAGATGCCTCTGTAGCGTTGACACGCATCAAGCAACTATAGTAACTTGTCTTTTCTCAAATACTGTAACTCTTGAGAGTCTTGAGAGATATTGAAAGCCGTTTTGGCCCTCTGACCAGTCGGCTGAAAATCAACAAATTCAATTTCGGCATTTCGTTTTGTTGACCGAGTTCGGTCTGAAAAACGTGAATTCAACGATGCATATGCCTACCTGTACAAGATTTGCGCAAAGAACTTGACACCAGCTGACCCAACTGTAACAAGCTGCAGCACCTTTCCTATTTCCCCGAAGGACTGTGCACAAAGAGCCTTTGCCTTCGTGCAAGGTGCAAAAGCTATTATGCTGTAGAGCAGCCATTGCATGTGTTATCGTGTTGCCACCGGGAAGAGTGAACATCGCCAACTGGTAAACCAAAGAAGTGCCTCGGACTGAAGATCCTCATTTGTGCTTTCTGGGTCCCTTCTGACAAAGACCCAAGTCTGCCATGAGATATTGTCCATGCTTGGTCTTGTTCAATTCCTGGGGTACGGCGGTCAACTTAGCAGTCTCCAGCTTCCAGTCGGTCTTGGGGTGCTCGACAACGGCTCGGGCCACGTAGCAGCCATAGCGAGAGAGTGCGAGGTCAACCAAAGAGGAGGACAACTCTAAGAGCAAGGACTCCTGGTAGCAGTCAGAGCAAGATGTCAAAACCCTCTCAACCAAATAACTGGCATTCTGATTCTTGGCAAAGGCCAAGGGGTTCCCATCGATCGTGGCCGCCACTGCATCACGGTGCTTTTGACTGCCATGCTCCAGGATGGCTTGAGCTACATGGTGGCCAAATGGGTGGCAGCACAAGTCTTCTGCCTCTTGCAAGACTTCCTCCACCAGTTCCTGCGTGGTCTCTTGTGCTGCATGGAACTCGATCAAGCGGCAGAAGATCCGACAACCGAAACGATGCCTGGCCAAGTCGGCGGCGCTGTGCCTCAACTCCGAAGCCACGAAACTCGCACCTGGACGCCATGTGAGTTGGGTGACAATCTTCTGCAGAACGTAGTTGGCATGGGGCGAGGTCAGAGCCTCCTGGACATGAGTCTTCAACTCCGAGGCCAGGTTCATAGTCTGCTGCTGGTTGCCGCGCTCCAAGGCAAGTTGGACCAGCCGGCACCCAAGCGGATGTCGAGACAAGTCCCAAACATGACCACTCAAGGTGTCCATCACTTGGGACACGTCCCTATTTTCTTGCAGCTGCTGTTGAAGCTGCTCACAGCTGTTCTTGTTGAACCAGGCCATTCCTGGGTTGGAGACCCGGCCCGGCACCATGGGAATCTTCCCAAACGTGCCGCATCTCGACTCCGACTTTCTTCCTTTCGCCACGCTGGACAAGCCAGGTCGCTCACCTTGATATCCTGATGATTCATATCCTATTTGAAGCGTTGATTCATCATCAAGAACAGGAACTACACCTGACAGCAAATGAGGAAGATCTGTCGGCGAGCTGCTGCATCTCTTAGAGAAGAACGGGGCGACCGGAGGTGGACTTCTTGGTGTCTCATGCCAGTACATGCTGGGAACTGCAACCATGGCCATAGGTGACCTTCACAAAGGGATTGGTTCGCGCAACACAACTCCGACCCAAATAAGGCTGGAACCAATGCTACAGGTCTCAGGCTTCAAAAGGACCTCTTCGTTTTGGACGGTTTGTGGTACATTTTTACTCTCTGCTGAAGGTAGTTACCAAAATACTCCTAACGGCCGTGGCACAGCTGCTTAACTACCAGCATCTGGTTTCAGTAGGTACCCGGACTCTTGTTGCAGGGCTGCCTGCCGTCTCCTGAGTCTTGCATGCGACATCACAGAAATTCACTGCCCAAACGGGAACTCTTCTGTCGGCTTCCCTTCAAACCACCTAGTAACCAAGAATGACAACTCCTGGCTTTAGCAAAACCTATCTTCAAGAAACTATATACTTTGCTTGCGAACGATCTTCTGATTCTTCCAAGAGTCGGTGTTCCCTGAAGAAGCCCTGCTGCATCGGCTGCATCCACTTCACAATGCACACCTCTGTCATTGATTCATAGAACACTCAAAAACAACATGAACAGCGATGCTTGTTTCACCGGGCTCAGCTCATACTCCAACATGTCTGAAGCCTAGTCTTGTCAAAATCACTTACTATTGAGCATGTTCGCAACATCTCTCTGATGTAGCATCAACTCTGCAGTGCAAGGTACTCTAACAGGTTTCCTGCCCAGAACCCATTGATTTTCGCATGTTTCTCGGATGGTCGCCTGTGCAGTCGCTGGCACACACCGGGGCCAGGGCCAGGACTAGCCAGGTCCTCTCAGGCTGAAGTTTTCTCTGAAACCACTCCCAAACGCTCAATGTAAGCCAATATGGCCTGCATTCACCACCAAAAACCACCAAATACGCCATATTTGCATACATGGAGTGTTTGGGACTTGAGGCCAGAGGGGGTGAACGAAAGCTAGCTAGGGGGTGAACGAGAGTCTGGTCGTCAGGGATGGGCGCTGCTGCGCTGGGTGCTCTGCTGGCGCCGGGTCGTCGGCTGCTGCTGCTGCTGCTCTGGGTCTGCTGCAGCTGCTTGGTGGTCCCGCTCACCGCGCGCAGGGGGGAGTCGAACCCGCGGGGGGGGGGGGTCCATAAGATTGATTTAATCAATTATTTGAGGTTTCTGAGGTGCGTCCACCCCGTCACTTAACTTGCTAAAGCAAGAGCAACTCCAGCTAGCTAAGGCTAGCTTTCGTGACCAAACACCGACGCGTTTTTCTGCGTCTGGGTCCATCCTCAGCATGGCGGGAGTCGCTCGCATGAGCGCACAGGTGACAGGAACAGCTTGAGCCAAGTTGTGGACCCAAAGGCACAGGAGACACACACTAAAGTATTTACTACCCTTTCAGAACCCTTTCACATCCACATCCGATGGCCTCCAAAGTACTTACCACCCTTTCACAGGTTCCGGAAACCAAGAACACATCCAATGCAGCCGAAGGAATGTGCCGCGGCCTTGCTCGCAAACCGCAGTACAAATGTGGCATCTTCGACTCAGACTGCCACATTGTTTCTAGCAAAAAATCCTGTAGCATGCCTCAGTCTCACAAAAGGCTTCTGTCATTATGTTTCATGAGCATCGGGATGCGCACAAGAAGACAGCCGGAACTTCTCTCTGCGCAGCCACAACGGCCTTCAGTTCAGGCGGTTAGAAGCACTTGCAGTTGTGAGACATCTGCGCGTGAGCTGGCGCAAAGATCACACCGTCCAGCAGCGTTTTTTCTTGGAACACGAATATTCCGAACCTAGCCTCCGCCAACCTGTATCTTTGGAGTAGGTAAAGTGCAAATTTCTTGGAACAGATTCTTCCTTCGATTCCTTCGATGATCAAGTCGTGCAGCTGAAAGACCTAACATAAGTCAATGTTCTACAGCCCGAATCTGCATTCAAAGGATGAGACCATGCTCAACAATAACAACAACTGAGATCTGCTTTCGGTTGAGCTTGGTGAAACCTTTTCCAGGCTGGCTCAGTCAGCCGACCTCAAACAGTTGCAGCCAGGTGCCGGCTCTGTGCATCGTTGGATCACCCAGGTTGTCCAATCGAGAAAGTGAGTGATTGCTAATTGTTAAGGTCTGTTGATGGAATCGCCCTGAAAAGACAGCCTCTATTCCTTTCCTGCCTTTGCCATGATACTATCCTCCTGCTGATCAGCATGGACTCGCAAAACCACTGGTTTGTAGAGGAGAATGGTCTTCCATTTTCCACGGGGTAATTTTCAGGGTCTATGTTAGTCTCCCGAAGGGTATCTATGTATATAATTGTATATATATATATATAATACGTAAACGATCAAAATCATAATACATAGTTCTTTGCGCAATTGCAAAGAAGAAGTCCATCGAACTCTCAGAACGACCAAATGCTTTACTCATTGAGATCACTCACAGCAACTGGTCGAATGGCTTCATTGCACCTGCAAAAAACATTAGCCATTGCGATTCATCATATGAGGTTAATGTTGCACATCATAAACATTTTTGATATCACCAATATCCACAAATCAAGCAGCAGTTGCGTGGACGAGTAGCAATCGGAGGAACATCTCAACCATCTCGATGATTGGCAAACACAGAACAATTCGGACCAATTGCGACAAAACACAACAAATACTTCAACTTCAAGTAGACATGAATTAGACCTCCTTTTAAACAGCATGTTTGATCCTTTTGGTATATTTATGCGTGTTTGTTTTTATCTTGACCTTTTGTCTGCTCAAAACACCATATTTCTCGCTTCACCGTCCATCGCTTCGGTCCACTCTGTCGCATTGAAGGGTCAAAAAGCAGTCGAGGAAGGGTCAACGGGAAAGGAGCCAGTTGACCAAACAGCCTGCGGTCCCAACTCTTACAGTAAATGTATACCTCCTGAAATACTCATAGAGGGCATGTACATAAACTCCTGGCCTGGTCTCTTTGAACTTACATGTCATGTATGTACACTCTTTGAACTCATTGAAGTGGATCGCCCCGAAAGGTCCGAAAGGACCCTTTTCCCAAGACAGAACTAGTATACACAGGTGGTTTTTCACTTCCATGTTAGTGACTCGGAGTGCAAATGTGCATGAGCCACCCACTGGGTGATATTTTAACTTCCAGCCATTTTCCAGGCAACTGCTGGTTCTGAGGGTCAAGCTTTTCTTCCTCCTTCGCTGGGCGCTGAAGGCTTCCGAACATTGCCGTGTTCATCCCTCTATGTGTTCCATCACATGATACAGGAAGTGCATGCGCTTCACCATAACATGTGGCTGGCAGAAGGTGTTGGATCGCCTCTGCAATGGCTGGAGGTGGTGCCTCCTGTCAAACGGTCCACATCAAATCATCACGTATGTCGTTTTGCTCTGGTATCAGGCAAATCAGGCAATCAAACACTCCCTTTCGGGGTAGCACTGGGTAGCTCATTGTAGTCTTGTGAGATCCCAGTTTTCCTCTGCACAAAGGGATCTCAGTCGGGAAACAGAAAAGTGCTGCAAAAGCGCCTTGGGCCCGGCTGCTAACGCCTCCGAAGCCGACAAGAAGGCTCACGGCAACATACGGCAACCCAAATCCATAGAGACCTCATCGAACAGCAAACATAATGACTCCTCGAATCTCACAAAGGTACAAGACTAGGTACAAGATAAAGTCAATGAATGAGTGAATGAATGAATGAATGAATTGATGAATGCATGCAAGACTATGTAAAAGCCACAGCGCTAACTCACAGGGGTTTCCAGCAATCACGGCGGAGAAACAAAGCTTCTTGGCTATCAGGCTATCAGTGTGTCTCACATGCTCCTAAAGAAATGTAGCTCAAGGGAAAGCCAAGAAGGATCCTTGTCGCTTTCGATGTGATCTTTTCAAACATCCGGACTAAGGAACTTCCAGAACATCCATCAACATCGCATATGGGACATGACATGAAACAATATCACACTCCAGTCACCGGGTCGTCGGAACTTCCACCGATCGGAGCCGCAGCTTTTTTCCACCTCCAACAGGTCCAACAAGTGGTCCTCGAGCTGCACCGCATCCGCCAACTGAGCTGAACACGACGGGAGCCCGTAGATGGGACGCAACGAATCACTGCGGTTGGGAGATTCGAAAAGGACCTAGCTTCTTTTTAGAAGTAGTAGATGCACTTGTTCCTAGTAGCTTCTTGTTACTACTAGTACGGCACTTGTTACTACTAGCGTGGCACTTGTTCCTAGTAGCTTCTTGTTACTACTAGTAAGGCACTTGTTACTAGAAGCGATGCACTTGTTCCTAGTAGCTTCTTGTTACTACTAGTAAGGCACTTGTCACTAGAAGCGATGCACTTGTTCCTAGTAGCAAACATTGTTACTACTTCTTTCTGGGGGCAAAGAAGCGGCCCAGGTGGATTGATGTGGTTCTTGTAGACTAGATGAATCATCAAGCTTGACTCATGGATGAATCATGGATGTCGGGATGATGGATCTTCTTCTCTCTCGAGAATACACTTTGTGGCCACTTACACACCCAAGAATGATGTTGGACATCCTGGGATCTGGCAAGGCTGGTCAACGAAGTATGTGGCGCCAGGAGCACAAGTGAATCTCAACAGTCTGAGGCAAAAGCCAGGAAGGTATCGTGCGGCAGCAAGTCCGAGTCGACAATGGCCTACGACGTTCAGTTCAGCTGAACATCCGTTCAATTGGGATCCACAAATCTCCAAGTATCAACCACCGGTGCTCATCACTATTATCGATGTCTGATTCAAACATTCTTTAATCATCTTTAATCTATTTCACGATAGCAGTATGTCTGTCTGACGATCGGAGCTATTGGTGCTTAGATCCCATTCAGCGCCTTCATCAGCTCCTTTTGGAATGGGGCTTCACCCATCTCGACCGACTCCAGCCTGGCAGCTCTTGAGCTATGGGAATTTTGTCAACAAATCAAACATCTTCTGCTGACTGGTGCTTAGCATATACAGTAAGGGAATGACCGACCCCCCAGTATAGATATCCTAATGAGATCTAATTATATCTAAATAATTAGGTTCCATTCCTTCCTTTCCTAAGCACCAGTCAGACTGGCAAGTTCATAACACCATCCATGTGGTGTACCTGTATACCTCTGAACCAGTCTTTTCTCATCATGTCACCTGCAAGCAATTCTATCTCCACAGTTCCCGACGAACAAGAAAACAAACTGAAAGCATTCTGTAGAAATATCCGATTGGAACCTCTGGAATCAACACCCATAATAAGCTGAAATGCGGACGCAAAAGGTTTTGGACGTCGAGGAGGATGAATAGAACCACTACTTCAATCTCGATCTTCAGGGAATTGGGCAAGCTGCCTCTGTAGGTAACAATTGCTAGAGCAGGGCCCAGCGGCTCAGCCCAGGTAGCTCAGGCATGCTTAGACTACCTTTCGTGGTTAAGCCAGTAATCTTGGGATACAAGAACCAACAGAACAACAAGCATCCATCCAAAGTTGGTCAATCCACGACCACCATGCACATGTTGGGAAGAATCCTCGCTGAGATTCACTGAGTATCCAGGATCCGATGGAGACCGCTCCAACTGCCAGGTCTCTCGAAGAACAAATCAGCCCTCTGCAAGAACTAAGGCGGAAGGGTATAAACAAGAGTAAACCAAAAGCCCAGCAGAATGTCTGGAACCGAAGACAACTTCCCAACTTCCTGACCTTGGCACAAGCTCCTGCTGCAACCAGGAGAGGACTGGCCCAGGTAGCTCGTCGACCTCGCGAACAGGTCTTCGGCGCCAACAAGAATGAAGCCCAAAAGAGTGAAAACGGAGTTGACATCACTCTGCAACCAGTGTTTAGACATAATCTTTGGAGAACTTTGTTGCCAGTGGTTCTTGCAACCCCAAAAAACTGTTCTGCCCCATGGGTTGGATGGCTTGGAAGGGTGCCATAGACAAAGGCCCCATGTCGCCCATCCGCTCGAACTCCTCTGAGGCTTCCACGATCCGTGCAAACTGATCCTGAGAGATCCTGGCTTCTGTGGCCTGCACACGGACTCAGGACCCCAACCGGGCCTAACCCTTAGGGCGTTAGGGATTCAACATGCATTCTCTTTTTACATGTAAAAGCATGTATATAATTAGGCTGAAAAATGCAATGAGATGCCCAAATCACTCCACCGAGGCTTCTCCAGCCACTGGTCGACCAATGACTTGTGCCCATTGGCCGACCCATCGTCACGGTTACCTTGCCTGGTCGATGTCCTTGTAAAACTCCGGCCGCAAGAGGTTGACCAAAACTTCGCCGGTGGACACTTCTACCTAGTAGCAAGGACGCTATTAGGTGGAGGCCATCGCAAGTAGGTTGGAGGCCATCGCTATTAGTAACAAGAAGCTACTAGGGTGGAGGCCATTACTACTAGGAGCAAGGATGCTACTAGGTTGGAGGCCATCGCCGGTAGTAACAAGAAGCCTGAGTGACGGTGCGGCACTGGAGATTGGTCTCTTTGCACCGTAAGACTGCAAAAGCCTATTGATACACAAACAACAACATGTTGACTCATGTTGGGTCTTGGGGATAGTGGATGTTGGTGGTCCCAACCGGAGTCAGCCGGCATCTGGAACAAGTTTTGCATCACTGAGGACCTCGCTGGGGAAGTTTAGTGTCCCGTGGGCAGCACAAGCGGATGTCCACATGGTTGGTGCGAATACATGACCGTTTAGGAGGCACCTGGATTGACCATCTCCGGCTGGGTCAAGCAGGTTTGTGAAACCCTGACTAGACCCTCAATTCTCTTCTCATCGACACCAGCGCTCGCCCTTGGATCGGAAGCAATCAAATTTTGGCAAAACCCAATTGGTGGCCTTTTGTCCAGCGATTGCTGGATCGATGCAGCCTCTAGATGTCCGAACTTGAGCAAAGGCGAGCCGAAAAGAACCTGGATCTACACTGAACATTTCAACATGTTTGACTTTATTTGCATCGCTTTCTCAAACAGGCTTCTTGGCATTATTGCAGTGCCCGGAGCATTTGGGGTCAGGGTTGGTTCATGCTCTTTTTTTGAAGCATTGCGAGTTTGAGGGATTGACATAGAACAAAACCATTGCTTCAAAAACACACGCACACACAACGCAAAGCTTGAACATACACTTTGAACCAGCAACCAGTATTGAGGTGTTGAAACTTTCAAGTCTCAAATCTCTCCACACTGCCTCACTCAAATCCACACACTCGGCTACTTTTGGCTGCAGTCACTTCCTGCCCTAGATGCCCATGCCCGCTCCCGTCCACTACTGGAACCAGCTGCTTCATTGCCACACATCCGCGCATAAAACCTCATGGGTATATACTCAAGCCAAGTCATTCCAATTCCAATTCGCACTTCTACTAGCGGTTGGTCAGGATAAAACCCGAACCAGTCTGGGTGAAACATGGACCTCGCCTCTTCGCCTACGTGAAGGTTCAATCGAAGCAAACAAAGACCAAGCTCAGGCAGTGGAACTCAGGTCGTGGCTCGTCCAAAGACATGTCTTCCTGCCGGGCCAGGGCCAGCGGCGGCCAGCGGTCTTCAGGATCCCTGATCTTTAGGCATCTACGGAAACCCATAGTTTTGGGACCCTTTGTATCACCCAGTTCAAGTGTTCTGTAACAACCAACGTGGCAGCAGGACGGTCTTTGGATAAGTCTTTGTCTGGATCACTATGCCATAGTGACAGTAAAAAACTGCTAGGGCAGCACGCTACAGTGACAGTGGCTACAGTGTTCACCTTTTGAATGCAGCTCCTGCAGGGAATCTTGGCAAAGTCTCTTCCAAATGTACCGCGCCAGGTTTATCCTCAGTTCGGCTCCTGATGAAGTCCCTTTCTTTTGGCAAGCTGCGAGTGACCCATGAACAAGCTGAGACAGGAATCCATGGTCACAACATGACAATCTGGTGGATCGGATTCGTTGGAAGCCACACTTGATATGATTGACAAGCAGTTGATACAGCATGTATGGCTATGGCATGCTATGGCTCAACCGTGGGTACCCTCGACTACACCCGTGGGCCGTAAAACCATGACGAGGTTTCCTCGAATGGGCTTGGATGCCAAAACTGGTTGCCGGGGCTCCGCTGCTGCTGCTCAATCTGCCGCTGCAGCTCCTCTACCTGGGCGACCCACACACACACACAGCGATCGCTACGATGTTCTTGCGACACAGAAGATCCATGGGAGGTCGAAGTGGGACAAACTCCAAAGGAGCAAACCGGGACTATAGAAGCTAGTAGGTTGGAGGCCATCACTATTATTGGGTTGGAGAGCATAGTAGTAGCGATGCCTTTGTTACTAGTAGCTTCTAGCTACTAGTAGTAATGGCCTTTAACCTACTAGCGATGGCCTGCAACCTAGTAACTAGTGACTTCTACAGTCTCATGACGTCCCATGTTTCAAAAAGAGCTTCTTGGAGAGGAACTCAACTTCAGGCATTCCAGACCCCTTCCGCTCCTATTGTCTCCTGATTTCTGTTGGTCAATCCCATAGATGACTATGGCCACACGGCGGCACGGCCTGGGCTTCCATGATTCGATTGTACTCCTCCAAGGTGGCCTAAGGGAGGTCCGGGAAGAGCGGCACCGTGCTGCCAGTGCCAGAAAAATTGCAAAATCTGTTTCTCTGGGTGTACGAGCGGCCAAATGCACCAAAGATCACAGGGAATTTGTTTTTCTGGTACCTTCGGGTACCTTCTCAGCTTCCTCTTTCTCCCGCTTTATGGATTTCTGGACTTCTGCTGTTCGGACACCAAACGCTTTTGGCTGGGGACCCGAACATTTTCTCGCTGCAACTGCCTGATCTCCTGACGCAGGGGTTGACCGTCACATCCGTTTGGTGACATTTAGAACGACAGGCAACAAATATTCGGGACCTGCACAAAAACACTAAAACAGTTGGAGGGATTCCCAAGATGTGACAACTGAGAGAACTCTCAACATCTATTGAACAACCAGTGGACAATGGCCATGACTTTTTTTCAATGCTTTTCATTTTGCTAAAACAACTTCGTCCTTCAAACCTGCCGGTCCAATCTCAGGGTGGAAAAAAATGATGACTAATGCCTTCCTGAAAGCGCCACGTATTACTCACCAAGTATTACACTCCCAGAACCAATGAAGTGAATGGCATGGCCATCTCAAAGACCAATTTCCAATTCCATGTTTGGAGGGGTGTACACTTCCCTTAACTTTCTTTTTTAACTGATGGAGGAAACACCAGCCTAAACCATCAAAGCCCAGGTTGATGGCCTCTAAATGACCTTTCAAATCGTCCTCTCTGGTTCGTTTCAGTTCTGCCGAACTATTCTGTCGTCTCCTATGTCCTATGTTATGGAACACTTTATGTTGCAGCGGTTGTTGGACAGTCTTTTCGGCATTATATACATCCATTCTCCTGACGTGCTGATGCGGGAATTCTTTTCTCAACACTAAAACTGATACATGACCAACACTTTGGCATGCCAGGTTTGTCAACTTCTCTGAGCAGAACATGCAAAACCCAACTCAACGAGCCAGGCACCTTCGCATCAGGGTTGCCGTCAGTGTAGCCGGCCAGGAATTGTGTCACCAAGTTGGGGTTGTCCTGGCTAGTGAAGGACCACCTCTGTGTCATGCCTCTATCTCGATGTTCGAGAATGCTTCAGGAGGAACTTGTGGTTGAGGACTGGTCTTAGGAAAGCGTGGACATCTCATACCCTCAATGGTCAAAGGACAGAGTGATTCCTCCAACATCTAGCTTCAAACTTTGCCGGCTGAACTATACGCATCTCATGCTTAATGGCGTGCTTGTACCTGACAAAGAACACACGGACATGAAACCCACGCTTTCTCTGCGGAGCACACAGGTGAGAACACTAAGTCTTCATGTCCCTTTCAAAGCATCCAGAAAAAATCAGTCCAGGAAATTTAACATAGGCATGCGGCATGCAGCCACAAATTGCAACAAGATTAGCAGGTCACCCAATCTTCCACAAACATCCACAAACCATTCTTGTGACTTCTAGGCCTTACAGTTCCAGGCAAAATTCCGAGCGCGTGGCATTTTCACCAAGCACTGGACGGATCCTGTATCGACCTCACAGCGGCTCATCATCAACACCCAACCAGGCTCAGCCAGACCCGCAGGATTGAGATGTTTGTCTTGTCTGAAGCAGCGTATAAGGGTAGGCGGTTTGGAATCCGCCCCAAACCCTACATTAGTTTGACTAAAACCCCTATGCGCAGGACATCGGTGAGGGACAACCGAAACTAAAAATATGAGTCAGCAGTCAGCGGGATGAATCATCCTAAGTAGAGCTTGGGCACATAAACATAACTGAAACCACCACCCAGATTTCTGAAGGGTGATTGGCGAAGCCTACTCGCTGCCATTGGTTATCATGAAGCCCCCTGCCGTGAACCCCCGCAACCCGCAATCCGGATCGCTGGACTGAGCGAACAGGCCATGTATTTGCGGAACTCCTTTAAATCTGCTAAACGCTGCCTGGGGCAGACCGTGAGAGGAAACTCTCAAGAACCAATCTCATTCCAACTTCGGCTAGAAACCTCAAAGAACCCTTTGGCTTGACTCTAGACTATAATAGACTCTGTAACTTGAGGCATTGCACAAGCTGACAACTCCTCAACCTTCCAGAATCTCTTGTTGGGACACCTCCAGAAGAACTAAACTAGAAGCCTGGAACCAAATTTGACCGGAGACCTCGTTGTGTCAGTGGAAGATGTCCTTTTCGCTTGTCGCGTGGTCCAGCGAACCCTGAGTAATATTTGGACTCTCTGGTGACAACGGGCGTTGAAAGCTGGCACATCTCAGAATGTTTTGCACCTGCTAGGTCTGCTGATACCCAAGGTTTGCTCAGGATTCCAAAACATTCGGCTGCTGGGGGTTTTCATCCTGGACCCTGACCTTTGCCTTTGCCTAGAATATCTTCAAACATCCTGAACCCTTAAATGAGCTGCCAACATCCACTCACAAGCTGTCAGTTGGGTAGGAGAAACCACAATGTGCCACGTTTCATTGGAAATACCTTTGGAAATATCGTGGAGCCTCTCTGCGACATCTTCAGCAGAGATCATGGACGGCAGGCGCTCCTGAAAACCATGCAGGACTGGCAGTCAGTCTTTTCATCATTGTGTTGCTGCATACCTTTTTCAAAGACCAAAGGGGAGGCAGCTTCTCTAGAAATGGGGTTGCAAAGGTATTGACTCTTGTACAAATGCATCCAGGTAGTATCCAGGTGTCCAAATCTACTGTAACACAAACACAAATCTCGACTCCACCTCCAATATACGCATGCAATGGAACTTGTCCTGGTCTTCCTTCCATGTCGACATGTTGCTGAAACTTTCGTTTTGGAGACGACTTCCTGTTGAACTGATCACATTGAAGGGATTATATAACTTAACCGGAGAATGCACTGAAAACACACTTCTTGCCAGGTCTTCTGTCAAAGATGAACGACATCCTCAGCGTGTGTGTTCTGTACATTACCTGCAGCCAGGAGCGGGCAAGTATTGAACCGTACGGATTCAGCACTGTGGGAATTCTGCTTCAAGTGTAGGGGCAAAAAGGGCATCATGTTGGAAGTTTGAACCAGTCACTACTTGCATCTTCGGCCAAATAGGGCTTTCAAGAAGATGGAGCACAAACAAGTCCTGAAGCTTCACATGTCTTCAACACTACACCAAGGATGGCTTCCATCGAGAATGAACCTGGCTATAACCAGGCACCTCACACATGGAAGCTCCTTTGCACTCCTTTTTGCCATCTGTTCACCATGTCTTGGACAACTCACACGCGCGGATTTCCCAGCTGAATGGTGATGCTGAAACTTTTGGCTAAAGCATCTTGAATGCAATCTCACCCCCTGAACCTCGCTGGGCCGCAGCCTTACGGACCAGCTTGTTGAACCCTGATGGGTTATGGATTCAGACCAGCCTATTCCATAATCCAGTGCACTTGGTGGACCATTAGGGATTATCCAATTATGTTCTTGTTTTATGGACTCATCGGTAGGGCTTGGTACACCCTAGCTGGTGTCTTTGACAAGCGCCGCCTGACGTCTCTGAATCCACCACTTTTGGCCAGAGCAGTTGGTCAAATTCGTGGGTCCATCCATGATCACCTCTAAGAGGTCACTTTGACAATCTGTGAGGATTTTGACATAGGCAAATACATGCCGAAGACCCCATACTGACCCTCATACAGCAAATCAGGCCATACGCTGCCATAGGATTCTTAGGTAAAGCAAAGAACGCACTTGCTTCAGCTGCAGGCATCCGCGCTGTGGGGCTGGCTTGCTGCTGTGGGTTCCCCCCAAACAGCCAGGCTCTTTTGAAGGGTTGGACTCGTCCCATCGGATGGTGTCTCTGGCGGGCAAATCCACAAAAAACAAGCAACAGCAAGAAAAAACATACTGTATCTGATGGTATCTCTGTGTTCTTCTTGGAGAGTTCATTTGTACATGTTCATACCCCCAACGCTCCTGCTGCTGCTGCTACCAGTACAGTAGTGGAAGCAAAACAATTGCCCCAAACCTGTAGCAAAGCATGGACATGCAGTTCTTGTTTCAATGAGCAGGGTGAATTGCAGGAAAAAGAACTGTGCCAGCACATAAAAAAACACACACACACACACCCATCAGGTGGACGATGGGCTAATCTTCTCATCTCCATCCTTGGAAACATCTTCAGATCATATGAGAATCCGCGATTGGACTGCATCCACCCAATCAAGCTGCATAGGCCTGAGTTTCTGCATTATCTAAACTGTGAGACAAAACTTGGCCCGAAACTCCAGCGAAACTGGACGGGAGTCTGATTCGATCCGGTTTTGATCAGAACAACGATCTAAGCGAGATGGTTTAGTTGTGGGCCAAACCGGGGGTCTCCGGCCGATGGTTGGGAGTTTAGCGGTGGGTCAAACAAACATCTGCCTCCCAAAACCCCAGGGAAAGGAACGATTAAAACTTGTTTGTGGAAAGCTAGTATCATATATGTATATATAGTGTTTGTTTCCCATACCCAATCGTGACTGCAACATCTTTATTGGTTACCCAATTGCCACTGTAACATCCTTATTGGTCCGCCCCAAAGTATTGCATCGTTCTGAGGCTCTACCACCTTGGATAAAGCATGCCAGCAACTATAAGCCTTCTTCTGCACTTCTCGTGGCTGGTCTGTCTCGGCTTTAGATGAATTCGCAATTAAACACTCAAAGACTCACTTGCAGCAGAAAACCCAACAGCTTGGCTTGCAGGATCGGTTCAAGCCCCACAGCTCCACAAAAGGAACCACCAAAGAGATTTTAAATGTTCATAAGCTGAGAAGCTGGTTTTCTGTCCGCCACAAATTGCTTCAGGCCACGTGCGGACAGCTTTGCTTGCCGCTGATCATAACTAACGTCACAGTTTTCAGTTCGCCACAAATCCAGCTTCCACGACTGGTGTTGGTATGACTTGGCGTCAAAAGAAACATTGCACATCACGGCACCCGTGAAGCAACACAGCCCAGGATTATGTTTTCAGGAAGTCGTCATACAAAAAGATGGACATCTTTTGTTGAAAAAACATGCTCAATGTACCCTTCGCTGCGTTTTCACACTTTGTGAGGCTTCTGCTAGATCGACTTTGTTCTGGTCTACCACGAGCTTGGAGGTCTCAAAAAGAAACGCTCCTGGAAATTGATGCCAATCCCAATAGTAGTGCTTATAAGATATGCAACGATCTGCCATCTTGGCAATACTCAAAACTGTGACTGGCTCAGAGGCTGCATTTTCCTCATCGTGTCGGCGGAAATGCTTGAGAGGTTGCTCCAAAACCGCAAGGCCTACAGGAACTTCAGGGCCACTGATTGAATGAACACCAAACCTTGTGGTAGAACCCAATCTGAGCAGAATGCGCCTTTGACCGTCCACACGCTAAGGCAGCGGCGGAAGGAGTCCCTGTACAGCTCCGGCAGCAGCCTGTGGCTTTCGATCTCAGCTCGGGTCACCAATTTGAGCAGGGAGTGGCCGGCAACCAGGCCGTTGTTTAGACGAGATTGGGCATGCTTCGGGTAATTATCCTAAGTATCTTCACATCTCGGGCAGCAAAGGTTCTTGTTCTGGATCAATTTGCTTGGAAAAAGATATTGAAACACGCCTACTGTAGGTTGCATCTCTGTGGCAAGTCCTCTTCCGATATCTTCCGATCCACTTGCAGCGGTGTCAGGAACTCGGAGTTCAGTTTCAAAACAGATTGGAACCATTCTGGAATTGTGTAAAACCGAGCAACTCCAGGATCCTCAACTGGCTGGACATCCCGAGTTGAGATGTTAAGCTCCTCTGGCAACGGTCACGCAAACAAAAATTACAACAGAATACAAAAGATACTTTCCTTTCCACCAGAGACTTGGAAATTGTGGTGCTTCCGACCGAGAAGCAACTGGGACTCAGGCTATGTGATTGAACCCAACTGTTTTGTCTCCCATTGTATACACACATATGTCACATAATTATCATATACAGTAATGCATGTAAATGTATACACATTTTATGTTTTGGTGTCAAACAACAGTCGTGTTTTTCTGGTTCGCCCTCGTTCTGAGGTCCGGTGGTCTTCCAATGTCTTTCACAGGGTCTGGTGCCGGAAGATGGCCTCAAATGCCAAGCATCACGGACTTGAAGATCATGGGGCTGTCGTGGATCTTGTTCAAGAGCGCCTCCAAGTTTCGCAATTTCCGGGGATGATGGTGATGAACCGCATGGACACCGGACTAGGCATGTCAACTGATCCCACTGATTCTTGTCGAGACTCGAAACAAGGACGAAGGGGAAACCAACGCCTTTCAGGTGGTGTCTCTTCGGCGAACAGATCGTACCTGTTTCCAGGGGTCAGCCATGGAGGACCAACTTTTCCCATGTTTCGGTCTGAATGACATGGCTGGATTGGGTTGGAGGGTTCCTTTGGGTCCAGCGGTGAACAGAGCTTTTTGATCATCTGTCAGCACATGTTATTTTTGATCTAAACTCGGACCGGACCACTCTTGGAATCAGTATCCGTGACGAGATCACCTGCCTCGAAAACAGGCCCGAGCCGCTCGTCGTCCGCGTAGGCCTCACTCAATACAATCCGTGGGTCGACAAGAGGCATGTGGGCCTGTGAAAACAACTTAAGAGGTCTGCAAGGGGTTAAGCCACAAACTCCAAAATGAGTTCGAAGTTAAAAATTCCGACGAAGACAGTTCCAAGTGCAACGTTCCAACGAAGCAAATTACGTCAAGTGCAAGTCTGCGAGTCTGCGACCTCAGAAACCTAAACCTAAACAGCCTGGGCACCTCTACAAGTGGATCATAGTAAAAACATGCACAACCAAGAGCGCAAGTACGTGGCAGTGGCATCCCACTTCCATATCTTCAGGTACATCGCCAACTGTGTTGACTAGGCAACAATGTACCTTGCCTGATCCCCTCCTTCTTGAATGTATCAAAAGATGCTCTTGACTCCAGAGTTTTCACACACACACATACAGAGGGTCATCAACTTGGGGACCAGGAAGCCTCTGCTTAGAGGATACAGTAGGACGACATAGGACGACCCTATCCGTGTATATCCATGTGCTGCTGCAGGTAACGGCCCGAAACATTCTACAAAATTCTACAACCACCATCGAAGTTCTAGACTTCTACTCGCACCGGCTAAGGCATACCTCAGCTTCTTTCTCACCTCATTCGTCCCATTTCGCTCCACTCGAACGGGGCACCGGACTCGAAGAATCCTCACCTGACCAACGCAGTTCTCGGGCGTGATATTCCCCAAGGCCTGGAGTTCAAGGCCGAGAGTCCAGGGCGGGCAGAAGACCCAAAACTTCAGCAGCGGCGAAGCAAAAAAGGGCGAGCCGCGGGTGCTCGGAAGCGTGCATTGCGCAAAGGGGCCCCCAGCAGTGATCCAGGAAAATCTAGAACTTTGAAGCCTTACTGTCAATAGTAGTGTGGTTTTTCTGGGGCAAGAGGTCCATCTTGGGCACTTCTTCCTTCGGGTCATGCTGCTAAATCCAAGGATCTTCCATTCACACACACTTACTTGCACCTTTTGCGACACACATCTTGTCAGCACAAGAAAAGAAAAGAACCGTTGATTCGATCCCCTATTTACTCTGAACAAGGCCAAATTAGACATCAGTTCACTAAGTGGCTTTGAACTATCTTGGAAGGTTTTGGTAGTTGAAACACTTTGGTGAGCCGGATAAACCTACAAAGAAGACTGCCAAGAAAACTCCTTATGTAATGCAGCCACGCGGCGACCGGAGAAGCATATTCTACAAGGCCGGGGATATCGTACTTGTGACCAAGCACGATCTCAGCACGGGATCTCTGATCGAAGCATGCCACATGAGGTCTGTTGATTTAGTGCAACCCTCAAGATGTTGCTGAGATCTAGGCCATGCCACAACCAGCTCTCTCTGCCACACAGCCTGCCACATGAGGCACCAAAGCTGAATCCAAGTCCTCTTTTGAACTCTTCTTGGAAGAATATCCGTGATTCATTGGGGGGTGTCGATAGAGAGCACACACACACACACACCACAGACTCAGCAAGTAGATGTAGATGCAACCCCAAATCCAGAAAGAAACGCAGAAACAGCGTCCTGACTTGGATTTCTCTCTCTGGTTGCCTAAGGGATTCTCCCAAGTCAACATGAAGGACATATGCACACCATAGGTGTGGCTATCCTGTCAGTTGCTTCGACACACCCATCAAATCTGGCATCGACCACGTCCCATCAGCCAGCCTGTGTAGATGTACTCGAGCATGTGTTGGACGGACTTAGGGCAAACAGGTGGACTGAGTTGACTCCGCGCCGGAACGAACCCTCATGAACCTTCAGAAGAATCACCCACGAAATCCAATCCAGCCAGTCATTAATTATATGAGCTGGTCTCTTGCGGAATTGGCGGGCGTGGCCCGAAAATCTACTTTCAACCACACGCCTCAAAGAATAGATACTGCCAGTTTCGGGTTTGACTCAAAACAACAGCAAGAAAGCAACATAACATTGAGCATCATTGAGCAAGCCTCCCTTAGCAGCCTTAGCCATAACTTTCTTTACTTCCTGTTGTTCAATGGCGCCGAAAGGCCCCATAAAATGGCCCAACAATGAAGGGAAAAACAATGGAAAACCTCTTGCATCCCACCTCTCCTCTCATCTCCTCTCCTCTTTCATCCCTTTTCCTCGCCCCTTTCACAAAGCGACTTCCTCCTCGGCGTCGGAGATGAGGATCTCCCGAGCCTGGAGCCGTGGCAGGGCGGAGAAGAAGCACCCGGGGCCCGGGGTCCGACAAAGCCAAAGACAGGTTTTGGAAGATGAGCAGAATTGAAGACACTTTACCATGGTTGCTAGGTTAGGACCTGGCCCATCGAAGAAAGGAAGAATGGCATGAACATCACAGGTCGCAGGTCTTCACAGGTGTGGCCCCACTCAAAGAATTCGTCACGCGGGAGGGCTTCGAACGTAGACTCTTCCGAAGCCATACCCAAACGAATCACTCTTGCTTCTGGACCTTTACCTAAATACAAGATCAATGGATTCTGTATTAATCTTGGCAGCCTTCAGATCGTGGCTGTCACCCAGTCCTTTTGTGAATCCACCCAAATAGCGAGCAGTTTTCATCATCTGCCTGATGGATGAGATGGTTTCGACATGTTTTGACCCATCCCTGACCCCTCAGCAACTCGAACAAGCTGCCTAGCCCTGAGCTTGGACTCTGGGTTTGACTGGACTTTTTGGGTTTTGTGAAACACTTTGAACAAGCACGAAATCCTTCGTTGGTCAAGCACCTCTGTGCCTGGCTTTCCTTCATCTCTGTGTCCAGCATCGCGGCAAAGACCTCCGAGGCCGCAGCTAAAACAGCCTCAAGGCAGAACTTGTGCGTCAAGCATTGTTAAGCACGGGGTTTGTTGGAAACTCTTGCCAATTCATGAAGGTCCACGTGAGTCCATGAATGATGGCAACCAAAGTGGTTCTGTAGACCATACACACTCATTAAGTGAAATGAACGGATGTGTTATTTTTTCACCCATCCGCACATCTGCGTTTTGCCGGTTGGCCCATTCGTAGGTCCAGTCACTCTCTCTCAAGGCAGCAGCGAAGAACTGAGTGACAGGCACGGTGCACCGGAAAGCGAGTTCCCCCACAAATGACCTGCAAAAAATGGGATATTCAGCTGGTGTCTTTGTTTCACGAAACCATGGTCAGCAAGGTCTTTCCTCCATACAATCATTGGATTCCTGTAGTAGACATAGTCTATACTGTAGAGAGACGTCCCCGACTAGATCGAAACAACTTCCAATACTATTTATATCACTAGAGTGATTAACTATGATTGATTAGCATTTCTATCTATTTTGGGGTCGCTGTATTGTATACCTGGATTTTTTTTGCATGTTTGGTTTTTCAGAATGGCACTCTGGAACTCACTGAAACACAGTATGACTTGAAGCGCTGGGCAGCGATGAAACAGCACCACCCTGGCCAATCACACCACACAGCCCCTAGTAGCGTCCTTGCTCCTAGTAGTAAGGCCAGGAGCCCCTAGTAGCTTCTTGTTCCTAGTAGCGATGCCAGGAGCCCTTAGTAGCGTCCTTTGCTCCTAGTAGTACGAAGAAATCAAATTTGGTGGCCTCGACGTCTGTGAATCTTCGATCGCCCCAGATCTGCCGAGTGATCTTCTGTGGGTAGCCGACCTGCAGGACTTCCGGGTGAGTGGAGGCACAGGTAGCCACAGGTTGCAATCTTACTAACCGCTGCACAAGGGATTCTGACCTAAATAAAAATAAACATGCTAATAATGTGATTCCATAGCATTTCGATGAACAAGGCGCATTTCAGCCAGCCACATGCGCTCCTCTCACTCAACACTAAGCACTCTCCGGATTTGCACACACACACAGACACACACACACACATGCTGAGGACGAGTCATTGTGAGCCGGCTCAGTCTTTTGAAGCTTGATGACAAACCTTCGTGGACCATGGTCATACCGTGGAACGGTCAGGACACCGCTTTTTGGTTGGACAAATACCCGCTGCTTTGCAAACCAACCAACATGCTAGGCACGCCTCACACTCAACTTGTACACCCCATGTAAACCCCCAAATGGAGAGAACAGTCCTGCCATCGCTTTGGCCGTGTGGGGTTTGGCTCGCTGCTATATTTCAGGAGGAACACATAATGAGATATTCTTACCGGGTTTCACATCCATGTCGCTCAGCAACTTTTGTCCTGATGGTGCTGGAGCGATGTGCAGGGCTGGCGGCTATTGCATCAATCCACGTAGCCCTACCAGAATCAGCCCTTGACATCTACATATTTTGACCCAATCTCCCAAGAAACAAATCATTCAACGTCTGGGACGTGGTTGCCCAGTCGGGTACGGCCGGGTACGGTACCTGTGGTTCTTTAACCCGGAAGTGCCGAAAGCACATGGCTCGAACACGTTTCACGCACTGAGGCAATGACCTCACAGCTTGAACCACCAAGTGATTCTCATCTCCGTGGTTGCTCTGAAACCTCAGGACATGATGGACAGTGGGATGATGGACAGTCCAGTCTTCCAGTCATTCCTGAGAATGAGAACCATGCGAAAATTCTGCGAATTCGTTACCTTTGTGACCTGGATGATGATCTCAACATACCTGAATGATATTGGAATTTACCCTCCCAGGATCTCCCATTGAAACAATGAATCAGCGATGAATGGTGTCATGTTTCAGGATCTATCCTAAGCTCAGTCCAAATAGATGGTCCACACTGGCCCCTCTGTCATTTGAGAACAGAAATAGCTCCTTTGGATGTTTGTGGAACGCACCTGAGCTACCGTCCGAAAAGGGACATCTTTATCATCTTTCAGGCAAATGAACGCCATGCGAGGTACGTCAGTCTCCACAAGCTACTCCGGATTGACATAGTCATCTTGTGAACCTGCAAAGGGATCTGCCAAAGGGACGACCCGGACCTGATGGCCCGAGTCATTGGCTTTGTCTTTCTTGGCAAAAGGAACTGATGGCTTCATCAAATGGTCTCCAAGGAAAGTGGACACTTCAGTGGACTAGGGGAGAGTAGTCACCCTTCCTGGAAGGAGACACCATACACCTCCACAAGTCAATCCTTTATTTGAAACAGGACACCTATGTTCAACATGCACCCATGCCTAAGCACTAGGCTCACCAGGACAGTCTTGGATCCTCCATCCTAGTTGAAGGAAAATCGAACATCACCTCAAGTAGTGGACTCCAGTACGGATCGAAGTTGTCTGGATCAGGTAGCAGGGTGTTTCATCTCCGTCCTTTTATTCAAGGAAGGCCCCACGACGGTCATATGGTCAGTGACAGCTTGGTTTGAGAGCTGATCACCCTAAACCACCTCACATGGGAATGAGTAACTCACAGTCCGGTCGGGAAAGACACCGCCCATCCATACATCAACAAACTCATCTCGATGGCTGTGCCCGGCCGTGCCCTGGACAGTGACAGAAAACCACACTCAAGACCACTCAAGTTGGGTTCTGAATGCTCTACCTACCAACCAAGACTCTCCATTGAGTGTATTTAATGTTTATGCATATTTAAATACCTACTTTGGGATGGCTTCAAGGCCATGTCAGTTGGTCAATGTAGGCATATGTAGGCATATATGTGTAATATATATGTATATATATATATCATATATCATGAGAAGCTGTCGCAAAGATGGTTGGATTCCAACTACCCTGCCACGCATGCAGCTCTGGCCATGCAAATCTACTGTGGAGCTCGCATTCTGGAGGCTGAAGGTGAGGCTTCGAGGCCAATATGGACCAAGAATGGCATCTTGGCTGGAGACCCTCAAGCTCCTCTAGCCGCCAAGATCTACTTGCAAGAAGCCCTTCATGCTTTCTGCAAACCCACGACTTCAGGTGAACCTTTGGATAGATGACCTGAGTTTTGATGTGGTAGACAGAGATCCAGCAAATGCCGTGCGGATCGCCATAGCTGCCTTCAACTACATCAAGGCACTCTTGGAGAAAGACAACTTGGTCATCTCGGAGAAAAAAACAGGATTCATTGCCTCCAACAACACCGCCAAAAAGCTCCTTGTGGAACAACTGCCCCAAGCAGGACCTAAGGTGCATGACGTAATGAGAGACCTTTGTGTTGATTGCACAGGCAGCCGTTTGAGACGGATACAAACAATGAGATCCAGGAGATTCCGAGCCCAAAAGAAAACCAAGAAGCTGCAAGTTCTCAAGATACCACAGAGGAGCATCCGGCTACGCCTCTACAAAGGCAGCATCTTAGCCGGCATCAGCTGGGGTCACGAGGCTATGGGTCTTGCCCCGCAACATCGAGCACGACTTCGAGCCACTATGGGCCGCCAAATGGGCTTGCAACGAACAGGGAATCTTGACATTGTCTTTGACATGCAGCCAGGCCATCAAGATCCAGACTATGCTGCTTTTTATGACCAAGCCAAGATCTTCAAGCACTTCGTAGACCAATGGCCGGAAGCCCTCAGAAGAGATCTTGAAAAAGCCTGGGCTCAACATCAAGAACGGTTGGCACAGGCCGCACATCCTTGACAGGTGGCCCGAGGACCTGTAGCTGCCATGCAATGCTACCTTCAAGAGAAGGGCTGGCACTCTCAGAATGGACAAAACCTGGCAGAAATGGTGCACCTGAATTCAAGATCCAGCTCAGTGACTCTTGGCCCACCATCAAAGCTGAGCTGAAGAGAGCAGAGCAAAGTGACAGGTTGCACAAGATCAGTCTCTGAAGCATGCTCCATGAAGTACAAGCTCCTTTGGACTGGAAGCCCTGGCAGCGGATGCGCAAGATGGTCAACCAGCAAGGAGCAAATGCCCTTCAAACATGGCACCAAGGAGCGCTTTTCACGAAGGTGAGTGACGGACATGAAGGACATCACCTCCATTGCCCGCATTGTGCTCAGCCGGCCACGGCAGTTCACCTGCTATGGCTTTGCAAAGCGACCACTTCGGCTTTCCCACCTTTGAAGCCGGAGGATCAGTTTGAGCTTGAGCATGGACTGAACCTTGAATTCTGGTCACAGGGCCTGCTGATGATCCCTCCGCACACCTTGTCCACAGGAGGCTCTTCCGTGCAAGCTTGGGGAACTTGGACTGCCCAAGATGAAGCTCAAATCCGTCATCCCGATGTGGTAACTATAGGCATTGCAGGGACATCTTCAGATGTTCGTCTCAAGCATTTTGCTGTCTCGATTGTCCACCACACCCAACTTGGTGGGCAACTCTGCCGGCAAGGTGCAGTTGTGGCAATACTTCCTGGGAAGCAAACATGGGAGCGTGCCTGGTTTTATGGACTGCGCATGATTGCTCACTATGTATATCTGCAGCAGCGCCAGGTCATTCATGTACAAAGCAAATGTGCATGGGAAGCATGGCAGCAAGGCAAACATGCAGATCTTTTCCATGATCTGAGAGATTTGATCACTTGGGATCAAAAGCAGCGCATCAAAGCCTTATGCATCAGTCCCAAGCAGCTCAAAGAGATGCCCAAGAATGAATGGTCCTTGAGAAACAGAATGGCAGATGCGGCCAAAGCTGCCAAAGAGATTGCGCTTTCACTGCAACCTCATGAACAAGAACACGAATTACAAGAGCAGGACAAGAAGTATCAGAGGATTGCACCTTTGGCCATCCAGCGCATTCAGCATCGCCTGACTGACAAGAACCACTTCATGCATGCGGCCAGAGAAGATGGTAAACAAAAGAGACATCAAGCGAGTGAACACAAACGCGATGTCTTCAATAGCTTGGGAACACCTCTGAGTCCGGAGCACCACCATTGGGTGACGAAGGGCACAGCAATGCAGTGTCTTCACTGTAAGGCCAGATTGACTATGCATAGCAAACTTCAGGACATCCAAGATGGCAAATGTGCCCAAGCCTCACGGCCCCAACTTGTTGGCGGAGCTGCCACCACGGCCACAAAAGCGGAGCTCATTCAGCAATTGCTTGAGGGATCGGCTCCAAACATGGCCCCGCACAAGTTCATCGTGAAGAATCACTACATTGTCTGTGAAACTTGCAGTGTCAGGATGCTCAAAAACTCTTCCCAGGCAAAACTCCTTGAGATGTCCAGCAAGGCTTACTGGAACGAAGAATGGCAGCCAGGGCCAACATGGACGGGCCATGGCTCCCACAAAATGTGGAAGAAAGGAGGGAAGCTGTGGTGCACGCAATGCTCGGCACATGCACTGCATTCAGCAGAGCCTCAAGCAAGCAAAGCGCTGCAAAGACCTTGCCCGCAGCTTGATGGGCAGCAAAAGCTGCCGACGCTCTTCAGGCCAAAGGCCGAAGATTGAAGCACAGCATAGCCGAAAAGAACCGCAGAAAAATAATCATATATCATATATCATAGGTCCCATGGGTGGCCTGGGCAAGGTTCATCTACAATCTACAATGTATGAACGACCGGGGCCAACACACACACACCAACGGGTGGGGGTTCGCTCTTCGTGGCCTGCCAATCCGGTTTCTTGGTGGCGATCCAGGTGGAAAGCCTTTGCCAGGCACCATTGACCTGGCAACGCTGTGAAGAAGCGAAACTAAGGATGGGTGGATTTCAACCACTTTTCTTTTCTTGTGTTTCCTTTTTTCTTTGTCTCTCTCTCTCTCTCTCTGCGAGTTTCTCTTGATCCTTTTCATCTTTCCCTCATGGTACTTATTCATTGTTGGTCTCAGGTCTGTAGGTGGAACATGATTGGACATCCACTTTTAAATCCATGGTTTTGACGCTCTGTCTTGATCTGTCTTGTGACCCTCAGGGACCAGGAGCTGAATTGAAGATCCGTGACGTTCCGGCACTCTTCAACTGAGAGGGCCGGTATGGTCTATCTATCGGTCTATCAGACCCGGGTTCAATCCCGAAGTGCAACACTAGGGGACAAACGGGCCACTACTCTACCCCTGCAGCTTAGGCCGTGGACCGTTAAAGTACAACACTTTTCAACTGATGTATTGATGCAAATGACTCAACATTGTTTCGAAATTTTATCCTTTGCACAATGACGCGGAAACCCGCACAACTCCGTCGAAACACATGCTTCTGTCCTGAACACTTTGTTGAACTTGATACCTCCCATGTCTAGTAGAAGCTATATGTTACAAGTGAATCTCCATTTCGGCGGCCAGTGGATGGAGGTTCCAGGAACCAAACCCAACCAAACGCCGCCCGCACTCCCTGGCATGCGCTCCCGTGGCATGTGCGGGCGTGTTCTGACCTTTGCTTCCAACGAGAGTCCTTGGTCGGGTGAGAGAAAAGGCTTTACGATCCCATACACTGATCCAAAAGTCCAACTCCAACCCTAAAACACGATCTTTGAATCTCCTCTCTGAATCTTTTCTTTGGATGGTGAAACACATACAAACGTTTTCGCGCACAAAACTCATACCATCCAAGTTTGATTCGATTAGGGTTCCGTCCACGCATGAATTTGTGATCTCAAGATGCCCCATGTTACCGAACCCCCAAACTACACATTATGAATATTTACAACAAATGCTATTGACAATGCCGCGCAATCGTTCGTTTGGGAAATAGAGCCGCCACCACTAGTGCCTCCATGGCCAGGGTGGCGGGAGATTTCCGTCACAAAGAGAGATCCATTCAACCGTCACGTACGGTATGCACTGTTTCGGAAAACATTTGATACCATTATGCATCTTGACCCTAAAAAGTTGCCAATTGAAGTCCCAGAAATGCCTTTGCCAAATTTGTAATTCAGGTTGATCCTTCGCTCTTGGTGCGCTCAGTGTCTAACTTGTTGTTCCGATCAATGCCTTCGTCACTTTTGTTGCTTTCGGTTTCACATTTGTTTTGTATGTATAGGATCTTTTTGCTCAGAAGTGATGGACATCTGGAAAAAGACCCACCTATACCCGCTACAATATGTAGGGTAAGCGGGGGGGTTGCCCGACAGCAACACGCACAGGGCTAGAAAAGCATGCGCTTTACAGTTTCTTTTTGCCTTTCGGGCCACTCAACTTATCGTCTTGGAGTTCGTGAACTCCAAGGCGATGACTTGAGTGGATCTCCCGCTTTTTGCCTTTCGGGAGCAAACATCAATGTGGGCATCCAAAAAAGGGGAGATGCTGATCCACTGATTGGGGGAAGGGCACTTCAAACCGGACAAACGCAACAAAAGAACTAACGACAAACACAAACAAAATCAAACAAACCTCAAACGTGGAGCCCACCTTGTCCTCTAAGCCGAAAGTGTAACGCGAGTGTCGAGTCACGAAGCCGAAAGCGCAACGCAAATGTCGATTTACGCGAGTGGTAACACGAACGAAACTGTCGCCAGCCCCCCCGAAAACCATGTTGGGTTGTCGGGAAGGTTTACTTTCGGGGCACCCCCCGCGTTGTCCCAATATGTAGCAAGGGGTAGTGTGGGTGCGCTCGTCAGACCGCAAGTTCGCGCATATGGGGGGTTTTATTAATAAAGATTCTACATTGTACGATTGTTTGGACCAGTGACAGTCCATTGAGAGTGCCCAAAGAACCCCGGTGAGAATCCATTGCTAGCCGGACCTGCTGGAGAACATAGGACCATAGGTCCATTAGTTGGGAGGCCTTCCTATTTCAACAATTACTCAACCACTGAATGCCATATATATATATATAACTATATATATACACAATGTAGGCCCCTCCAGGTAGTGGTCATCCAGACTTTACATTCCGCAAGGCCACTCCATTTACTCGAATCCTTTGGGGTGGACTTCTGTTGGACCGTTCCAGAATGGACTAGTGACTAGTAAGGTCAAGCTACTTACTTCTTTAGGGGTACTTCACTTGTAACATAGAGTTGTCGCCTCTTTCAGAGCCCCTTTTGGCTTTTGGACACCTTAGGTTTCGGCCCATGGCCGAATGCTGGTGGCCTCATATGGTTGCCTCTGTTGCAATGTCGTCTGATTGAATGAACAACTGTAGTAGGGCTGTTCCTTAAGCAGGTGGTATAGTAAGGCACAGCTGCCTCTCCAACATGCTCTTCAGGGAGAACATTCTAATGAGGTGGTCTGGGCACTGGTCTGAGCACTTCACAGATCCAGCTCGCCCTCTTGGAGTTGCGGAGTTGCTCAAGGAACCGGGAAAAAACATCCGCAGAAGGGGACTCACTCATAGGGAAAAGAATCACATTAAGCAAAACTATGCCCTTGGCGAGTTGTGCCAATTGTAACATGTTGTAACTCTGATGGCCATCACTGATTTAGGGACTACTCAAAGCAAGCTTATTTCCTGGTTGACAGAAGCTGGTCGGCCGGTCCGTGTTGGGCCACAAGGGTGACAAGTACGCTAAGTAAGTAGCTGGGGAAACCACGAAGTAGTTTAAGCAGCTTATTCGGCTTGGACGGAGAAGGGCTCAGGCTCTTGAGGAAGCCTAAGCTTAATGATTGGTTCCTAGATGTTTGCTTGGAAACTTGACTTTATTCCAGGCCCAAACTCAGTGCTTCTCCAGTTCAGAACATTCAGGGCAGCTCTTGCTGCAGATGTTCAGCTTTCAAACATGTACTGGGCGGACAGAGATTGGAGAGCAGGTGCTTCAGGTGCTTCATCGATATTTTCCGAGTCATAAATGAGGTTTCATCTTGTGAATCTTGTTGCAGTACTTGTTTCAATCTCAGCTTCCTTGAGCTAGTTCATGTAATTTCATATCATTCTGCCGCAAAACATCCTGCCCCACCCCAGCAACTTTGCAGTGTGAGTTGCTTTTCACGCCCATGCCATCACCCCGGTCCTGGCACTGCCGACTAAGCGGTCCCCGAAGGATCTCCCGAAGAAAGCATTAACAGCGCGATATACCCTGGTACACTCCATGGAAAGGTGATGATAAATGTATGGGATGTTGGAACTGTTGGAAGTACACTCCTTGCAATAATCATGGAAGTGGACGTGACATGACATGACAATCCCCTGTTTCTAGTAGAGGTAAAATGGTCATCCAAAGGGCCAGGTCATCCACTTCCATGATTATTCCAGGGAGTGTAACATTTTTCATATGTGCCAGGGGTTGTTGTTTGAACGTGTCAACACGTGTCCAAATATCGTCTGGGCACATTTCTGCCAGGAGGTCGGTGTGATTCTGAGCAAGTTTTGTCACTGGTTTCCAAAAACCAGTGTCAACACTTTTATGGCAAAGGACAAACACACTAGAAGCTGTACGTGGAATTGGCATGGTTCTGTGACCCATCACCCATCATGCGCACATTGAGACATGGCACAAATATGACAGAGACATAATGCAAAGACATGAAAAGACTCTTGATTTAAAACATTCCCTGTATAAAGAGTTTTACAATCCAAATGCATCCAAATGGAGGGTTTTATGAATCAAACGTCTGCATGATGTCGAGACATGCAAATGAAGACCCCGGACGTCACCGTCTCACCATAAAGACCTTGTTGGCGCATCTTTTGACCCTTCAGTTTCAACTTGACACGTCGCCAACTCTGGTTTGGCGGATCCAGTTCAGGTTGGGCGTCAAGAAAGGAGAGGGATCGAGCAAGAGTACCAGCACCAAACATCCAAGAACTGGGCGGTACTGATGCCATTTGGGCATTCTTCTGTGGCAATGTATCGATGTCTGCGTCCTGAAGGGACCACCTTCAAGCTTCTGAACTGCCCAAATGCGACCCTGCACCCTCCGTAAAAAGTAGTTGCCGGATGACACCACGGCATGTTATCAGCCTTCCACTCGACCGCAGCCAGCACATGACCCTGCTCGAACTCAAAAACAAATGCCTGGCGTCGTGGATTTTCGAGTTCCACAGGTGCACCCGAACTGCTTTGGGCAAGATTGGACATTATGCAGAAGGGGTGCTCCAAAGCACCGGAAACGAATCCACATTCCGAAATCAACACAAACCTGATGACCCTCCGCCCTTTGGTGCAGCATTTTGTATGCATTTGTTAGGGGGCCAATCTTGAGATCATGCAGCTGCTTTTTTGTTGGGATTACCCAGCGCTTCTGCACCGCATGGTGCAACATGCCCGGCCTGGTCGCGAGTCTGTCCGGGCACTGAGGCCCAATACTCAACTGACCTGGCCAGCACTTCCTCTGGGGCACCAAGTATTTTGGACAAGGTACCTCTTACTTAAACGTAGGGGGCAGGGAGGGGTTGACGTACTACCTGAGCATTTTGTTGGAACCTAAGGGTACTGGGAACGAAGACTGATGCTTGTGAACACTTTGCAAGCATTTCATCTACTGTAGCTCAGGCGTTCTAGGATACACACAAAATGATCCACTTCATCCCACTTCCAATCAAAGTCTCACTTCTTAACAGAACATTCTGTGGCCATTGCTCGTTTGAGCTTTCTCCACTGCTCCAAGTTTGCAAAACAGCTTGAAGACAGTGAGGCGCACTGGACATCAAAGAGAGTTCCCAAATCGAACGAACAGCAAGTCAGTCGTCAACGGCAGGTCGGCTGGTCGCACCCGGTGTTGATGAGATGTGAAGGTTCGTGATTCATGTAGTGTCCTGACGCTGCGATGCCATGCAACGCGGTGTCTCGCGTTCTCTTTGCTCGGTCGAAAACGGCGTCCTGGATGCATGGCAATCTTCACATTGGCCGCCACATAGTGGTCGTCCCCGTAATCCGACTCGGTGGAGAAACCAGACTTGGGGACGTGACACGATGTGACACGATGTGACATAAGGTCGTTACTCTCAGATGGAAGGAGGCAAAGACAGGCAAAGATGGTCAAAGTCACGGAACAAGTGTTTTTGCTTTCGACAAGCCAAGGTGTCGAATTCTTAATTCGACATCTATAATGATCGCATTCACCTTTACTCAGAAGTGGGTCTAAAGTCTAACGAAGGCTGTTCTGTGCAAGCTAATCCTTAACTCTTCAAACATCTTCTGGTTTGTCAGGCTGTCGACTTCCCATCCAGCTGCAGCCCAGGGACCGGAACGAGACCCGTTGAAGTGTCTCGACCACCTCACTGGCTCGACTCGCTCACCCGAATTCATCAGAATTTACTCCAATTTCACAGCCAAAAGCAAGGGTCTCACTTGCGACACCAAAGCGGACTCATTTGCGACACCACTACTACTACTACTACTACTCACAGGCACGCGGGCACACCTTAATTATAGGACCGGATAACCCCACATGGGAACAACTTCGAAAGATTGAAGCTGCAGACATAAGGTGCTGAAGAGTGAGCATGGGGAAGAGACAGGCGAGACAAATAGAATGCGTAAGGGTCGGTGTGTGTAGGTGAGGTGTGTGTTTGATTGTATGTGCTTGTCCGTGAGTGTGTATGAGTGTGTGGGTGGATGTATGCTGTATGACGCTTGTGTGCATGTAGGTGTTTGTAAGGTGTGTGTTTGTGTGCATGTGTCTGTTCATCAGTGTGTATCTGTGTGTATCCGTTTGTGTGTATCTCGTCAGAGAGTCGGTCGTCGGAGACGAACTGGTCCAAGTGTCCTGAGCAGGAAGATGCATACTGGTCATACCGATTCATATGGTTGACTCATACGGTTGACTCTACGTAGCTTTGAGCTCCCGTGAACGAGCGCAGGCAACGACGGCGACTAGAGAAGACAAGATCCCAAATGCACCGAAAGACACCAGGTGTACAAACCATGAAAACTATCTGCAGGTGAAAGCATGTTTTCCTTTCAACACGCACTTATCCCATCGTCATCTAGTGACGGCCATCACGCTGTTGAAAAAACCATGTCTGAAACCGGCAAGTCGCATCAATCAGACAGAAGCAAAATTATACATAGATTCCAAAGTTTCCAAAGTTTCATCTCTTCATTCTGTAGCGATGGCCGTGGCGCCTTCCATACACGCATCTGAAATCTGCAAGTCGCATCAATCAGAAAGAAGGCGTGAGCACATCTACATCATCCAACAGTAACAGGTCATGCCAATCGAAGCCATACATGTCAAACATGCTTGGGATCCAAAACCAACGGTGTGCGCTCACGGTCTATCTACGCATCTGAAATCAGCAAGACGCACACAGTGCTGCGCCTGCCACGAAATCTGCACATGGAGGTTCACAAAGTACTGCGCCTGCC